ATTTGAAATGCAATAAATATTGTATATTTACATTAAGGAGTATAGTAATCATAGCTATTGATCTATTTTGTTGTAAAAAGCTTGTAATATAGGAAGGAGAAATGATTTTAACAATGTTCCGCCGAGCTTTGGACCGATGGACTCTGGATCTTCTCTCTGGACGTTTTGCCAGCGAGACTTTTTTGAGGTTTCTCCGGTCCTTTAGTCGGGGGCTGTGAAGGAGGCAGGTGACCACGCGGAGACAGTGGAACCGCACTTCCTGTCCCAGACGCTTGCTCACGGTGGCGTCTGCTCCTGTTCTCACTTTGTCTAAGAGCAGAACTCATTTCATGTTAATCAACCATGTTTTTATCATTTGGAATAATTTCAAATAAAGATGGGGAAAAGGGTACCTGACGTGCTTTTGTTTACTCTTCCTGTGCTTGATGTGTGTTAATAAGTTTGTTCTTTGTAGGGATCGGAGAAACATTTCAGTCCTTTACTGAAGTCACATGGGTGTTTGAATGTGTTCATATAACCACTGGTTTGATCTTGAGTCATTTCTTTTTTAAGCTTATATATTTTATTAATGTCTAATTAGAATAAGTAAAAAGAGTAAATGTTCAATACTAAAGTACAGTGGAAGTCTAAATGTGCATAAATATACAATCAAGCAGTTTAGCTTTTTTTACACTTGTTTTTTAATGTTTTCATTTTATTTTTTGCATATTTTCTATTCAAATGTTTGACTTTTTTAGTAACCTATTACTACTAAAAAGTTTGAAAATCTATACAATGGGGAATATGTAGAGCGTGTGCCTTCAATATTAACTTTATTCCGCCAAAAGTTTATTTTTGAAACTCGCGCGAAACTTCAGCCAACGAGCAACCAGAGGCTCCCCTAAATAACGCGGGAGATTGAAGGGAGGAGCCTAAGAAACACGGATGTAGTACAGACTTTCAGAATTGCAGCATGTGGAAGGAGGTCTCTGTCAGGTAAAATATAACTTTATTTTATAAACCGCTGTGTGCGACGGGTTTAAAAGAACTAGCCAAGCTTAACTTATTCAAGATTTGACTACATTTCTTTTTCATTTTCGGGACAGTTTGTAAATGTAAATCAACTTTAGTGTCCACATCGAGTGACTTTCCTGTGAAAAACGTTCAATATACGTAAAGTAAATCCTTTCATTTACATGGGGTATTTTTTTTATTAAGACTGCCTGTATTGCTATAATTATGGAGAAAAAAGAAACCTGCAAAACGACAACAATTGTATTAATTAAAACTTCCATAAAACCGTTCCAATTAAAACAGCACGTGCCGATCTCCTCACTCACTGGCTCGGTTCCGGGGACCGTTTTTTGCCGGAAGCTGGTTCTGCGTTCACCTGTCGGGAGCGCGCACGGCTGAAACCACACTAGAAATTAAGCTTTAACGTCCTATGGCAAAGGAATATTTTAGTGACAATGATGTCTTCGGGGTTCATCAGTGGGGATGAATAAAAGTCTGACGTCTATGAACATCTAGTCATCAACGTTGTAATAGACTACAAATGAGTATTTTCGTTATACAATTGGTCAAAACTCTTTACTAGTTCACTTGAGACATTTTGGCTCTGAAGTGTTCATTTGATACATTAGGTGATTTTGTGCTTAAATAACACAGGAATCCAGTCCAAAGAAATACTATTTAACTGTAGAATATACATCAGAGTTCACTCAGAAATATGTTATTGATTAATTATTACAAGTTATTAAGGGACTTTAATCTTGTCTCCTTGTGGACAAACGTGGAAGTGTTTTCAAGCACCAGCCTCCCTTCACAAAAGCTCTCATTAAGCTCTAAAACGGACATTAAAGTCCAACCGGCTCCGTCTCCCGGTGCCTGCTGTCCCCCAGGCGGGGCCCGGTCACCCGGCCCGGGTCTCGGGGAGCGGGGGGGCCCCGGTCACTCGGTGTTTGGCTCCCAGAGAGAACCGGAAGGGGAGACTCGCTGGACTCGCACTACGCGGGAAATTGAAAACGCGAAAACAGAGCAGCGAGAGCGCCGGCACATTCGTTGTTTCCGGGAAGCCGAACGGCCTCAAATATGATCGTGACAATGATGACTGTCCTCGTGGTTCTTCACGCCGCTGTCGGTAAGTTTAATCTCGTGGATTTAGTATGAAACACGTACATGAAAACCCCGGTGTTTCTTTCAGGAGACTTCCGCATGTAAACAGTAATGTAACGCAGCGCTGCGTGTTAGCATGTTGTGCTAGGCTAACCTTTCGTGCTGCTCGCTGTATTTAAACTTTCTCAACTCGAGTTTTGACGCGTTTGAAAACGTCTCAATAACCTGAACAGGTGAAGATATTTCACCGAACAGGTGAAGATATTTCACCTGTTCAGCACAAACAACCGTACAGCAAATATCAAAGTTAAGTCAACATCTGCGTGTCAACAAACAACAAGTGCTCAAGAGCCTCATTGACGTATTCAGGGGATTATAGATGTAATTGAGCTGTAGTGTGACAGCGCTTTCTGTGATTGTGTGAAGACGTCTTTATTGTCTCCTGCAGGTAGCAAAACCCACAACAAGTGGCAATAATGGCTGCATTGTTAATTCATCACAATTAATATGACTATTCGTTCATATGAGGCAAAGTGAGATGAGAACAGGAGCGTGTCCGTTTTAAGCTAAATGCCGTGTTCCTGCGTCCCTCAGGAGCCTCCCCGGCCGTGTGCCCGATCCCGCTGATCGAGGCGGTGGAAGGAGACAACGTCACGCTGCCATGTCACCTGTATCCCGAGGTCAACGCGGAGGGTCACACGTTCGACTGGAAGAGGGACGGCCTCGAGAAATGGGTCTACGTTTATCGGGATAAGAAGCCAGTTGAAGACGACCAGAGGGACGAGTACAAGAACCGGACGCGCGTCGACCCGATGGGGCTGAAGAGAGGAAACATGTCGCTGCTCATCTTCCCGGTGAAGCTGTCCGACTCTGGATCGTACAGATGTTTTAATGCGAAGATGAATTCCTTCTGCTACGCAAACCTCTCTGTTGGTGAGCTTCCACGTTTGTTACATATATAACATTTATAAATAACGTGATCAATAATGTTGATTTAACAGGTTGACACATTATGTGTGATGTTGCAAGAGACATTTCTAGAATACGTTGAACATTCTTATATGTATCTATTTATTTATTTATATTCAACAGTCCCAAAGAACCAGACGAAGAGTCGTGATCCTACAAATGTCCCTCCAACGTCAGAAGACCCTGGTAAAGTATTTTTGAATTATTCTTCATGAAACTCTGGTCTCCTCTTATTCCGCGGAGTCTTTGAACACAACATAATCTGAGCAGGACTTGTGTGTCTTAATGAAAACCTGCTCCTCTTCATCGTCTGTCTGATGATCCTTCAGGTGCTGAGAAGAAGACGGATGTCTGGATCATTGTTGGTTCTGTCCTCGGTGTCCTCGGTGTCCTCGTTGTTGTTCTTGTGATGAAATACAAGGTGGGTTGGTGAGTTACAAACTTCTCTCAGCATTGTGTTGTTGGTGGTGAAATGTACAAACTGCACACAGACTCACATCTTGTGCTCCGATGTAAATAAGTTATTAATGTACGTTATAAAGCGATAAACACAGAGGATCTTGTTGAGATCCAAACCTGAGCAGACGTCACAGAACCTTCTCCAGCGTACCGCTTTAAAAGTATAGAATACTGCGTTACAGCACTTACTCATCAATAACTCTTTTATTAAGTAAATGACAACAAAGATAAATATATTAAACAGGAAGTGAAATAAGGTCATTAATTTGCTCTTAAAGAACATATTACTTATTTATGTATCAGACACATTTCAGACTATTTTGTGGAAATGTTCCATGAATTAATTCCTGTACTACAGTTTTTCTCCAACGCAAACATATAAATAATGAAACCGTTTATCAACAAAAAGCCTCCAGACTGCTGAAGTCCAATATCTACATCTACATTCTTCACCATGAACCTTCTGAAGTTCTACGAATCAACGTCTCAAAGCTGTTTCCATGTTCTCACAGACATTTGGAGGAACTTCAGAGGAAGGAGGCCAAACAACGATGAACCGGTAACCGTGGTGACGGGGCCGAGGGAGCTGGGACAAGACGCTCTCGCAGCCGAAGAAGCTTCCATCGAGTTGATGGTCAACAACAACAACAACAACAACCACCAATCCGGAAAATCCTCCGAGGTTTATTAATGATGATTGTATTCCTCTGTTTGGTTAGAAAAACTAAATTCAGGAAAATCTGTCACTTTGTCTTCCAATGTCCCCAAACTATAATATCTCCTCTGCAGGTGTCGCACCCACATCTCAGGTATTCAAGTGATTTTAAATCCTTTAAGTCTTAGCTACTGTAGTCAGGGACACGCAAGGGACACGCAGGGGACACGCAAGACCCCCTCGCGTGTCTTTTGACCCCTCCTTGCGTGCGTCGACCCATTTTTCTAGACTTGCGACGCCGCACCAGGCTGTGATTGGTCTGCTGACTACGTCCTTTACGGAGTCTCACGTCTCCGTTTTCACAGCACAATACGGCCGTTATTGAAAGGAAGAACGTCGACGAGAGAACGGATCAGATTGAAGAGCTTTTGTCTGAAGAAATGTGTAAATATGAGCACTTGTACGAGACACAGTAGCTTTAAAGGTGGACTCTAAACATAAGATCTGTCCCGTGAAGCTGTGCTATACCAAATCTAAGCTCCCTTTTTTATTTTTGTATAGTTTTAAAATGTATTAACCTTTTTAAGCTCATAAGTAACCAGTTAAGATGAATGTGATCGTGTCCCCTTTTTATTTACGTGTGATGTTTTTTTCCCCCACTTTTATTTATCTCTTTACTTCTGCCTGTATTTGTTGTGTCTCTGTTGGAAGTTAATAAACTGTTGTACTTTAAGGAGCAGTTTTCTGTGATTACTTGGTGAATATGCTGTGATGGTCTCTGCAAACGGTCCAGTGTTCAAAATGAAACCTTTTTAATTCTTTCCTCTTAATGAGGGAATTTCAATTGTGAGACTTATATTCTGGTTATTAGTCTCTTTATAAGCCGGTGCCCTGTTGTTCATTTGTTTTCGGAGTTATCTTGGTGATTATTGATCATTCTATTGATGTTAGCTCATCGGTAGCTGCTATCCTCTCAACAGGACTCGTATTGAGGTGCTTGTGGACACATGGGACGGGACATGAAATTATTATTGATTTTTATTGAGAAACACAACTTTCTCCACAGTATTGGGCTTACTCCGGACGGTCACCCGGCCTCCCGGCCGCTCGGGGGTTGCCGGGGGACGGCTAGCGGGAGCGGACGCACCGGCTACGGGGGCGGGCTGGCTAGCTACAGCGGCTAACGACGGAGCTTCCGCGGCGCGGAGCCGCGCTTCTAGCTCACTAAGCCTCGCCTCCAATTCATCAAATATACTACACTTCTTACATGTACCATTATCCGTAAGGGAGGCAGAGGAATAGCTAAACATGTGACACACCGAGCAAGAAAGAGCAGGAGAGGCAGGGAGGGAAGACATCGCCAGGTTAGCTGCTAAGCTAATGCTAACGCTAATAGAACTATTCGATGGAGAATTCCCATACTTAATACGTCATCATTCACACGCTGGTAGCAGCTACCATCAGTGATTAACATACAGAACGTGCCCGTCTATCGGCTGAATTTGTCTGGGCTGGACTCCGCGATAAGCGGGTTTTCCATTGGATGGGTGGAACGCGCTCGTTTGTCGTGGGCGGAGCTTGTGCCAAAATCTTTGGCAGAAAAATATTTAGCAGGATCCGTCATTCGGTCCCCCATCCGTCGAGTCCAACGAGTGCATGATGTTCGTGATAGCTTTACGTCTCCTGACTATGTTCCAGTTGGCGGACCTGGTCACAGGTAGGTTGATATTATTCTACGAGATTTATCTCAAATTAAATTCCCTTTGTATTACTATTGTTGGAGCCATTCTGAATACTGCAATGGGAGTGCGCTGTTTTTGCCACCAGCCTATTTAACGCCAGGGCTAATTAGTGCAGATAACTTTTGATCGTGAGGCACGGCGGATTGGGAATTGAATTGTTTGTTTTATATTAGCAGCTTTACTTAACTTGGATTTCCTTAGTGTCTCTAAGCCACCTAGTTTGGAAAGCAGTACTTTTTGTGTCAATTTTACAGACCTTTTTTTCACAGAGGCTTCATCCTTATTAACCTTTTGTAAGTCAGCTGACACATTTGTTACCTCAGTACCTTGATGATCTTCATCCATTTTACCTTGTTTTCCAGTCAACCACCCAGAAACAGCAATATTTCACAATATCATGAAAACGAGCATCAGAATAAAAAACAAACCATTAACACTTTCATTTTCTTGCAAACCCAAATGTCTCTTATTTCAAGTCCTCGTTGGAAAATGTCAATGTCGATAAACCAAATGTCCATCCGTTGTGTTCTCGTTAGTCCTGCCGTTTACACTTTAATAACTGCAGGCAGCTCTGCTTCATTCCTTCTTACTCGTGTGTGTTAACTGCTCATACCACGCGGCTCGTTCCAGGTCCAACCAACTTTTCTTCACTTGGTGACGTAGTGTCCAATCCTCACTGACCAATGTGAGAACGCTCACCAAACTCCGTCGTGACCGAGTTCGGACTGCCTCACTATCCACTGTGAGGCTCCAGCGTAGTTTCACCGACATCCGCTACCAATCCCCGCTACCGGTCACCGTCCTCCGCCGCCGATCCCCGCTACCGGTCACCGTCCTCCGCCGCCGATCTCCGCTACCGGTCACCGTCCTCCGCCGCCGATCTCCGCTACCGGTCACCGTCCTCCGCCCGTGGCTGCGTGGTTTGCTCCACAGTCCAATGTGAGACGCGCTGCGCCCGTAGAATACGACTAACGCTACATCCAAAGCACGCGACAGCGTTTCCATTCAGCCGATCGCCGTCGAAGACAAGGTGCTCAGACAGCACAAGGATCGTGCCGTCTAAACTTGATCGGTCTTTTTCTCATACTGAGCCAAACTTTTGACTAATTGTTGGCGCACATTTAAGTTGTTTTGTACTCGTGTTTTCCGGCGAATTGTTTGTGGCTTAAACTAAAAATAACTTACTTTCAAACTTCTGAACTTAACATCGGATATGTCAATCCATTTATTTATAACAAAAATAACAAACAATTCGGTTCCCAATCCGCCGTGCCTCACGGTCAAAAGTTATCTGCCTCGCTGTGCGCCACACCTGCACTAATTAGCCCTGGTGTTAAATAGGCTGGTGGCAAAAACAGCGCCATCCCATTGCAGTATTCAGAATGGCTCCAACAACTATGACTGTACTATTCTGAAGACGTCGAGGTTGTGATGAGGTCTACGTGAGAAGACATTTAAATGATTGCATTTCCAAATATATTTACAATAAAGACAACTCTGATACTGATCTTATTCCTAAAAAAACTAACGATGCCTTTATTGTAAGCTATCGAGATGCAAACTTTATACGAGGATGACAGAGCACAGACTCCCGTCACCTCAGTGTGTATCACGGCACACTTTAATTCAAGTTGAAACGATTAACAAACAGCTGGAGACAAAAAACAGTGTAACCAACAATATATAATCAGCTGAAGTGTGAACATGTGAAAGAAGTACACATTATTTCGGCCACATATTGTTAAAGGTGAAAGTGTGTCTTTGTCTATCTGTCTCTCTCTCTCTCTGTGTGTCTCTCTCTCTCTCTGTGTCTCTCTCTCTCTCTGTGTCTCTCTCTCTCTCTGTGTCTCTCTGTGTGTCTGTCTCTCTCTCTCTCTCTCTCTCTGTGTGTCTGTCTCTCTCTCTCTCTCTGTGTGTCTGTCTCTCTCTCTCTCTCTGTGTGTCTGTCTCTCTCTCTCTCTCTGTGTGTCTGTCTCTCTCTCTCTCTCTGTGTGTCTGTCTCTCTCTCTCTCTCTGTGTGTCTGTCTCTCTCTCTCCCTCTCTGTGTGTCTGTCTCTCTCTCTCTCTGTGTGTCTGTCTCTCTCTCTCTCTGTGTGTCTGTCTCTCTCTCTGTGTGTCTCTCTCTCTCTCTGTGTGTCTGTCTCTCTCTCTCTCTAAAAAATCTCTCTCTCTCTCTGTCTCTGTCTCTCTCTCCAAACTAACGCTGACCTCGTCTCCTTCATCAATCTCTGCGTCCTAGCTGAGATAACTGTGAACCCCCCCCACCTTCACCACCACCTTCAAATTCTCCTGCTGCCACTCATTTTAAATGCATGAATTGTGATTTTCTGCATTTGCTGCTTTCGTTTACTTCGGTTTGTTTTCTGTACAAACAAGTTATTTTGTTGTAGTTTCTTTCCTTTTTTGAATCCCACGCCTCCCCAGTTCTCATTAAATGATTCGCACCTCCTCCTGCTCATTGGGGCCCCAGAGCGTAGTGGTGTTGTAGCTGCTGCAGCGGTTAGCACGAGGCTAGCGGCTAGCATGGTACGTCGTCAACTGTGGGATGATTTTTTTTTTTTTCTCTTTTGTTTTGCAGACAATGTTATTAAAAAAAAAAAAACGTTTGTATAGCGAACAAACGCATCTGATCTATTTCCCGCCCCCGTAATGAAACAAAGATATCGCCATGTTTTATAAAACATTCAATGCAGTGATTTTTATGAAATGCTGAGATGGTCTTTTTATTCTGAGGCGTGCGACGTACCATCGGAGGTGTCTCTCAAGGAGGGTCTGGACTTTGTGGGACGCGACGGATCGACTGGACTGAGCCTGGAGGCCTCGAACCGGCCCGGCCGGTTTGGGGTAAATATTTATCGCTGAAGGGGTGAAAAATAATTGATTTCCACATCGCGTCAAATGTATCTAATGTGACAGATTATGCAGACTTGTTGACCGAGTATATCTATATAGAATTTACTATTTGATGTGGGCTTTTTTTTTTTTATCATACCAACCCTGAGTCATCCCACCTGTCTTTGAGACCTTCCAACACACACACACACACACACACACACACAGGCGTGACATTTCTTTTTTTTGTTTTTTTTTGTTTAAAAACTACAGTTGGTGTTCATTAAAGTGGAAAAAAAGGATTCTAAAAAGAAATGTTAAATCTTGTAGAAGTTTATTTTAATGATTGAAGTGTGAGGAAACACATTTTAAAATGTCTGTCTTTTAATTTTCTCTCTGAGATGATCATATCTAATGACTAATGGATGAAACCGCACTGCAACGTCTGTGTGAAAAGAGAACGGTTACTAATAACAGAACTCCGTCTACAGTTTGGTTTCATGAAGTCTTTGTTGTGTAGACTTATTTGGTTTTTGGTGTTTTTATTTCTTCTGATGGATCAGAATTTGTGGTTCTGACTTGAAAAGAAGACGCTGAAGAGATTTGAATAACGCAACACTTATCCGTCGCCACGAGACATTCTCCGTGCGCCAACCCTGCTCGTCTGGACTGGAGGGAATGAGAGGTCAAAGGTGAAGACGTCCTGAGGGTTTCTGAGTAGCACTTTGTGGTAATTCAATGAATTGACAGTAAATGGTGGGGGGAGAGAAGAGTATTGTCACCTCTACACCACCAGGAGGCTGCAGCTGCTCCTTTATGTGAAGGAGTTTATTTGCTTTGTATATTTTAGCCTTATGTGAGGGATAACAATATACTTTTTGTTAGCCTTAAAGGGCGATATCTGTACATGAACTAAACCACATTGAGTTGACTGCAGTTAGACTTTCTTTTGTTGGTTTATATCTGTAGTTGATATATTTAACCCATAGTTATGAGGGCTGTTTGTGTTTATAACACTGAGAAAGTTCTGCATTCATAATATTTGTTAAAGTGCATGTATTAGTATATAATATCAAAAGTACAGATTATGCAAAGTGGTCATTTCAGAATACAGTATATTAAAATATTGGAGTATAATTAGCGTCTTTTTTCCAACTTTAAAGCTATATATTTTATAAATATTCTCAATATGAAAATACCCACCAGGCGGGTGTAGTTACAACGCGCCGCCGGCGGGTGGCGCCACTGAGCGGCTCGCTCGGCTGTCACTCGGTCGAAGGCAGTGAAGAAGTGAACTTAGTTCCCAGCAGGTCGCTGTGTGTCGGGACGAAGATGCTGGTTAGGAAATGGCAGCTGTGTAAGTGGACCGGCGCGCTGTGTTGATTGATACGTGTCCGATGAACTCCGCCACTTAATCGATCGAGTCCCGATTCCTTCGGCAGCCTGTTCTCTGGAAACTTAATAAGGATTTAACGTTAGCTCGGGCGGCACCGGCTAGTTAGCAACGTTAGCTGCTCGATCGCTAACTTCAGCTGAGCTGTGAAAATAAGCTAACCCGGTCAAGTTAAGCTAACGTTAAATAAGTGAGCTTGCCTTCAGCTCAGGCTGATCTCATTGTGCGCGGACATGTCTACAATACCTAATGTTTAGTCCTGGTGGTGTGCAGGTCTCTGTTTCTCCCCTCATTCGGTACTTTACCCGTCGGCTCGTTACAGGTTGTGTCGTTAGCTCACGGCAGGTGTTAGCAGGTTAGCATTCAACTCGAACTCAGCCGCCCTCATTTTAACCGTTTACGCAAACCGGGAGCCCATTAAACTCCCCCCGCGTGTGACGAAGCTGAACATCACTTAGTGAATCGCGTTAATAACCATTAAAAGTGTTCATTAAAGCGAACGCCGGGTAAGTTTAATAAAGATCCTTTTTGGTGTCGTTTTCCTCCGTATCAAAGGTCACTCTCCCCGGGAGGAGACGTGTATTTTTAGCTCTGCTGGGAGGGGGGGGGCAGTACTAATGCAAGTACTAATACCACTGTGTGACAGTACTCCAGTGCAGGCTAAAGTCTTTACCTCAAGTAAAGAGTTCATTTAGCTGAAAGAATTTCTCCATGTATAAAGAAACACCGTATTGTTCAGTTTGTTACAACCAGTTGAAACACATCTGGAGATAGAAGGTCTTCACTGGAAGTGGATGAACTGTCCGTAACCTTCTACCTTAGTTACCAAGGTGGAGAAGGTACCAGTAGAACGACCTGTGACCGGCACACAAGATGAAGCAACATACGTGTAAACGAGTCCATCTGGGAACCGATAGATTAAATGTGAACATCCCGAAGGCTGCAAATGATTTCTTGACTTGATCTTTTATACACTAAAAGATTTGATGGTAAATCCCGCTTGGTCCCGTCAGGCCGTCCGCTGTCGTCCAGGCGGTGACTCTCTGACCGATGCCGTCATCATGATGCGGAGCTGCAGCGCCCTGGTCGTCGCCCTCCTGCTGTCCCAGGCCGGAGGCTTCCTGGGCCCTTCGGAGGAGGAGGAGGACGACGGCGTCCCCGAGGAGTGGACGCTGCTCCATGTGGTTCAGGGCCACATCGGGGCGGGAAACTACAGCTACCTGCGCCTCAACCACGACGGGCGGATCATCCTGCACATGCACAGCCTGAAGGGCGACGCGGACCTCTACGTGTCGGATAAGACCCTGCGGCCGAGCTTCGACACCTACAAGCTGCAGTCGGTCACCTGCGGCCGCGACGCGGTGGTGGTGCCCGGGGAGTTCGCCAGGCCCGTGGGCATCGGCATCTACGGCCACCCGTCCCACAAGGAGAGCGAGTTCGAGATGCGCGTCTTCTTCGACCAGACGGTCGCCCCGGAGCCGTTCGATAAGGGCTCGTACAACTCTGGCGAAGAACACGAGAAAAGGAAGACCCCCCAGGCGCCAGAGGACGACTTCCAGGAGGAGGAGTCCATCTTCTGGACAATTCTAATCGGACTTTTGAAGATTGTGCTAGAGATTTTGTTTTGAAAGTTTTTTTCGTGCATTGCCGCTGTGGTGAAGGAGGTTCTCCTTTTTCCCCCCTCTTCTTTTTTTCTTCCTTCGTTTGCTCAGTCCGCAGCGATGCGATGAAAATGGTTTTCTTTCATTCTGTAAAGATGATAAAATGTGGCACTGAAGGCATTTTAAACGTATTTTATTTTCCTGTGATCAAACACGGATGAAATGAGTCTTTTAGAAGTTGTTGGTGGATTATTTGCTGGATTCACCAGTGAGGCCTGACAGCATGTTTGGTGCTGAGCGAATGAACACGAGCCCGCTTGGTGTCCTCTCATTGAACCGGACGGAGTGAAGCTCAGCTCGACCGAAAGGGCGGGATGGGAATATTTCCAGAGCAGGACATTTTTTATCTTTAATACAAAACCCCTGATGAACGAATAACGGAGGCTGACTCTTTAGTGAACTTAAATTTATCCACGTTTTGTTTCTGAAGAAATTAAATCTCAATACTAAAAACCCCAAAGATTGGACCAGAGTCTTTATTTAAACCTTCAGTAAGGGAAACTAGTTTACCGTCAAAGAGCTGCACCTATACCTGTGGATCCCTAAGCCCCGCCTTAAACCCCACCCACCCCGCTTCATGTCTGTTTGGCTCTAAGGTCCACCCTGGTTTGTGCTGCTCAGACTGAGTCCGAAGCCTCCAATGAGCCTAAAACCCCATTTCTTTCACCAGTGGATGGGAGAGATCTCACCACCTCCACCAGGAGGACCCTTCTGACCTCAGCACCAAGCTGCTGGAGACGAGGAGGAGGCAAGCAGAGGCGACTGAATGAATGAAACCTCTTTGTCTTAACTCTTTTGTACCGATGTGCGTTTATAAGAACGACAAACTACTCGGCGATTCGCCCGTCAGCCACTTCCTGGACACGAGGCTTCCTTCGGGATCGGTGGCTCCTCCTGGAAGGAACGCAAGCTTTTAACACCAGCCGTTGGGCTGGAGGCGACTTCCTCAGTAAACCCAACAACTCTCGTAGCATTTTCATTCCGTTTGATCGCTCTGGGTTTTTTTTTGCCTGTTGGACAATCTCCTAATCCCCCCCCCTGCTGTTTGGGGGTCAGTTACCGCTGAGCAGAAATGTTCCACAGTGCCTTCAAGTGATCGCTCTCTCGTTTCCAGAGACAATCAGGTTTCTAAATAAAGCTGTTTTTACGCAGCCTCTTGAATAAACTGGATACTCGTGTCTCGTTGACCTTTGTCACCCGGTTCTGGGAGAACGGCCCTTTAATGAGCGTGATGATAAAGAGAGGAGTCGTCCCACAGCTACGCTGCAGGATTCTGAAGAAGCATTTCTACATTTCACTAGTCATGTTACTACGAGACCCCACATTTGGCATGAAATGGAAGTACTTACATAATGTACTTTCCTCCACTACTGATTAATCAAATGACTTGTGAATTGTTTAACAAAAAAACACTTTGCGATATTTATGCAATCTGGTACGTTTACAACTTGAGTATTTCCATTATTTCATACGTCTACATCTAAGGGGAGTAAAGTGCTTTATACTCCACTACAAGCTTCAGTTAATTTACCGATCCGGCAAACTAAAACACCATATAATAGATTACATCACCACAAGCTGCAAGAATAAATAAACATGAATGTATTAACATCATCCAGTCATTTTTATACTTTGATACCATTACCTATTGGTTTACTTCAGTAAGATCTAGAGGACTTTAAGCACTGGAGATACTTTACTGAAGTAAACTAGTACATAATATCTAAAGTACAACTGATGACTTTTATAAATTAAAAACAAGAGAATTGTTAAATATAATTTGCAAAAGAAGTTTTATTTACAGTTTGACAGACGTTGATGCAGCGTTAACTCATGAACAGTTTTTCACTAAGTGGAGTCGGTCAGTGAGAAAAGGCCTCTCCTCCATCACCACCTCCGTCAGGTGAGTCGGGGGGCCACCTCGATGCCGTTGATCCTCAGCACCGTCTGCGGCTGGACGATGATCCTCTTGCGCTGGAACCGGTGCCTCTTCCAGAACGCCATGTGCACTTTGGGCCAGGACTCGGTCTTCTCGATGACGGTGGCCTCGACCCGGACCAGCTCCCTCCCCAGCAGAGGCCTGCCCACCAGGGTGAAGTCCTCCGCGCCCACCAGCAGCACCTTCTCCACGCGGATCCGCTCCCCGCACCCGGCCTCCACGCGGTTCTCGACCAGGATCAGGTCCTCGCCGGTGACCTTCCACTGGCGGCCGGCGAAGTGCACCACGGCGAACAGGCGGCCGAAGTCCTGCCGCTCGATCCGCAGGTTGACGGCGCGCACCACCGCGGCGTGTCGCTCCCGCTCCTCCGCCCCCGAGACCGGGCTCACCTGCTGCGGCCACGGCGGGCTGGACAGGGAGGTCCGGGCCGCGGAGCTCTGCGCTCGGACGGCGGCGGCGGCGGGGAACGGGGGAGGGTGACCCCGCAACAAGCCGGCGCACGTCCTCCACAACACCGACCCTCTGGACAGCGACATCTTGACAGGAAGTGCTTTACGTCGCACCGCGCATGCGCGGCTCTTCAGCGCGGGATCTGCGCATGCGTCGCTGTAGGGTCACCTGACCTTATTTGCTAGACATTTTATTAGTGATTGGAGGAAGCTATACGACCAGTTCACAACATTTCTGAGGTGCTTTTTACTTCACTACATCTCAAAGGTAAACTGTATACTTTTTACTACTTCTCACAAGTAAATGTTGTACTTTATACACTACATCTCAGGTAAATATTGTACTCATACTTCACTACATAATAATAAAACATGCTCTTACTGTAGGTATGTGTATGCACGATATTAAAAAGCAGTTTTACTTAAAATATCCGAATGTACATTTCACCACGTGTATGTGAAGAAAAAATGTCCTATCCGATATACCGCTTCCAGATCGCGCAGCTTTGTTTTGACATGTAAAGGTCTCCGTCGAGGCGGAAGCTGTCATCCGCGTCAGCCAGTCGGCGCAGCGCAGAACTGCCTCCATTTTGTATCGGTCGGCCCGTTTCCGGGTTTCCGGGAGGGGACCAATAAAAACGGTGTCAACGGCGAGTATGGCTCCGCTCGCAGCCGGTCGGGGTTGCGGCTAAAGTTTTCCGTAGCTGACCGGAAACAGTTAGAAGTGACTCCTTAACGCTTCGTCGTGTCAGACCGACGACGGAAACTCGCAGGCGGCCGGACCGCGCGTGACACTGACAGCCGGGAAGTAAACAGACTCCATGCTAACCGGCTAACTAGCCCCCATGCTAACCAGCTAACTGCGGCTAGCTTCGCTGCGTAACCGCCGCCGGCCGAGCTGGTGCTAACGTTAGCCGGCTAACCTGCGAGTGGCAGGTTCAGTCTCTAGTTTTCAAACTTCACCGACGCAGGATTCGCCTAAACGGAACTTTCCATTCATGTTGTTTTGGAGGACGAGACTGTCGAACCTCCACTTCTTCGGGCCGCAGGGTGAGTACATGTTCGTGACGTAGAAGCTAATTAACTGTACTGCGCCGAAGTTAGCTAGCGCCAGGTAGGTTTCTTCCATCTACCTGGGCGCGGCTGAACGACCTGCCCGGGCCTGATCATTCCGGTTTCACCGAGCTTTATGTCGTAAGCAGCAACCGGACAATTTGCCGAAGTACTAATTGTTCAGTATTTGCAATGTGTGTTATTAAGAGTCCTGCATTATGAGACGCGACCTAATTGAAGGTAGCTTGCGTGTTGTTGTCGCCGCAGTGAACGCTGTAATTTATGCAACAATTGTTAGGATTTCACCGCTCAACAGCGATGAGTAGATTCGTGCTGCTCTCTTTTAACACGTTAGCCGAGGGGATGTTTTTATTTCGCAGTCCTGGAAGTGTGTGAGCTCTAAAAACGGGCTGTCGGGGCTCTTGACACACGAGTCTCGGGCCTTCGTTTCGGGGCATTTCCTTCACCACAACAGCCCCGTACTTCCTCATCCCCCCCCCCTCCCCTCCCTCCCCCCCGGCTGCATTTCCCTCTGCAGCCTCACACCGTTGATGTGGTCAGAATCCTTCTTTCCATTACATCGCTGTTTGCTTTAATGAGGATCTTGAGCTACTTGTGGACCGCTTTGCTTTGATCTTTAATGGCGTCTAATCAGATTAGAGGTGTCAAAGGTCACGGACCTGTATCTTAACATTGCTTCTATATTAAAGTGCTCTCTGTGGCAGCAAGGAGTCCGTCCCTAAACAACGCTGTTCAGGAGGAGGCACAGCGCTTGTGAAAGACCCACAAACCGTTTGTGTTGCCGTGCCTCTGAATGACTAATGACTATGAATATTGCCATGTCCCTCATTATTATATCATAGGAAGGTGCCTTCAGGTTTGGCAACCTGCCGATCAGATGACGGGAACATGTGTATCGGCGAAAAAACTTGAACAAATAAAACGACAACCCATTTTCCAGTGATGGCCGGTGATCGGTTTGGCAGGGGGGGGGGTTGTGGTAGTAGTCGGTCCGCTGGTGCTCTCTATCCGCTGGCTACGGTCGGTTATCAAAACATCAGCCAAATGACCCATTTCAGACTTTATGAGCAAATACAGAATCCCTTTGTTCATTTCTAAGGCCGCATGAAGACACACATCACTTTATTTAAGACGCTGCGCTACTTGCAAGTCGCTGTGTTGCGCCAGATTCTCAATGAAGTTTGGAAAAAAAAAAACATGTACGGCAAACCCACCGTCATGAAGACACTCATTTAACGTTACATGGAATCTGCATGTCGCTTAACACCCAACTGAGATCTCCTATGTAGTTCGGACAAAGGATCCGACCACTGACCACTCTTCGTACTCTGCGTCACTCAAAATCTGAGATCTAACTGGTTCGTCCTTGTGCCAAATTGGGTGTTTCTGCCCAATTTGAAGACATTTGTTGAAGGTGGTTCCTGAGTTATCGTGTTCCCGGGGACGGGTCGAGCCGAACAGGAGGTGGAGGTTCCCAAACAAATCAGATTGTTGTGAGACATGATTATCGCTCATTATCACAGCGTCATCGCAGCTTTGAAACGAGGCTTGAGGTGAATTAACTGCCAGCCATCGGTGGAAACAAACCCTGGAGCTTTGCTGCCAATTCGAGAGCGTGGGAAGCTGCTGAAGCCGCTTGTGGGAAACATCGGTGATACGAGTGTGTTAAACCCACTGGAAGAGCGACTGGATCTAGAAGTCTTGACGGGATCTCATTGGCAATTGGTTCAGAATTGAAATGAGCCTCTGAGGACGAGTCCCATCGACTAACATTGTTGCCTTGGTGGGTATTTTTAGGCGGGTTTGTGGTTTACAGTGGCAGCTTTTCAGAAGGGCATTTGCTGAGCAAATAAATCTAAAGATGCATATTTCATATTTTACTCTTGCCATTTTTGTGTATTGTGTAACAATGTGTTTGCTGTCCGTGTGTTGAAGAGGAATCTCTCTTCAGCTGCTCCATATTATTTGTGTTTAGAAGCAGGGGTTTTTTTTTTTAGCACTCTTGGTCGTGTAAAACCTGCTCAGATTATAAATCCCTGGTGCCAATTTGTGATTGGAAATATGGGGCCATGTAAATACAATTTACTTTGAGCAGAGAAAAGCACAGCTTTAAAAAAAAATACAGAAGACTTTTTATCTTCTTAAAATGCTGTGTGATCAGTCCATTTGAATGTAAACAGTATTGAGATCTGCAGCCCTCCTCCCAAGGTTTAGCTGACCAACTGACTTAAAGTCTGAGTTGGACAAATCAACAGGTTTTCTCTTCCATCTGGGCGACGTTTCACCTTTTAACAGCTGCAGGGGAGATGACACACGTCAGAGACCCCCTCCCCCAACATTCAAAAAGTCAGAATACTTCAATAGGATTATATTCTTCTGGTTTTCTCCTTTTGGAGCCGAGGTGAACATGTCGCTGACTTTACGTCGGCTCAAAGCGTTAAGTGCTCGTCCACATGATTAAACCCACAACTTGAAGCTTCCTTAAACCGTTTCAACACGATGATGAAGTTACTGGATCTCCCCAAACCAGTTGGTTGCTCATGCAGGTACCCCACCCCTCCGCGCCGCTGCTCCATGCCTCCAGCAGCCTGGTCCAGTGTTTGGGCAGGTTTTTTGCCAAAGGAAATCGAAGGAATCTCACCGAGCAAGCTCACGTGACGGTGACGTGGTTTTTACTGAGAGGCATGCAGACGGGAACTGAGGTCTGGGAGGGTTAACTCCTCTGGTCCCATAGACGTCTATGAGTAAATGACTCCCTCAGTGAACATTGTGAACGTGAGTTTAGCGTGATGTTAATTTAGTGAAATCGTGGTCCATTTAGAGTCAAACGGACCATAAAGCAGCGGATGCTGTAGGGCGGAGCCACAAAGTGAGTGACAGGTTTCTACTTCACACTTTCGGATACTGAAACGCAACTTAAAACTGGACGCAAAATATTTAAAATGAAGCCTTCCTTTAGTGCACCAATGCTATCGACCCAGAAACATCCTCAGTTTAGTATGAACAGTAGAGAGAAAAAATCTGCAGCCTTTTAACTTTAAATTCTGAATTTAAAATGGCCTCTGATCAATTTTCTACACATTAGATTCATGGACTTGAGTTCCGATTCCAACACTGAGAAACAAAGAGTTGGAGGCTTTAAGCAGGTTCAATAAAGTGGGAGCTGTAAGCCTGAGGGGAAACAAATAATATACTTAACTATTGGGAACCAGAGATCTTGGATCAACCTAATATTTCACTAAATACAGTGTTGATACCAAAATGTTGAGTATTTCCACACGTGTTGAATTATCTTCGCCAATGTCCTCGGCGATGTCCACCATGTCCTCGCCCCCGCAGGCGCCGATTGAAGCCGTTCGCTTCAACAGACTGAACCGGTCTACCAGCTGCTCAGATCTCTTGATTCTCTGGTGCCTGCGTGAGGGCACGGGACGTGGGGACGTGGGGACGTGGAGAACCACGTCAGCGTTTCCTCTGAAGTCTTAACATTTTCCTGTTCTGGGCGGTGAACGACTTTTTTTCTTTCCAACCACTGTTGCACAGAAAGTAGACAGTTATTTTATTGACATTGCTAACTATAATATTAATTAGAATAAAGCAAGACGATAAAATATTTGCACAAAGCACATCTATATTTAAAGAAAATATATAATGGGTCTTTGAAAGGCTCTCTGCTTATAAAAGGACTAGAATCCCCCAAAAATGTGATCAAGTGAAGCAGAACTCGTCGTTTCAAAAAGGATCCACGTCTCATCTTTTGGAGTTAATCATGTAAACTGAAGTTTTCTACGCCGCAGCACATGTCACATTTCAGCCGACGGGATCAGGGATCATTATTGGCAAAAAAGGCAAAACAAGGAATGACCTGCAGCATAACGTCAGCCAGTGAGACAACAAGTGCAAGAACTTAAATCTGCAGTATAAAGTAAAGTATCTGCTGTTGGATGTAGAATACAAATTAAATTCCTCAGTTATCTGTTTTTTCAGGACTCCGTGCTCGTCGGCCCAGCTGAGGCGGTGACATCACCGGTCCTTATCTCCCCCCACCCCCCACGCAGAGAGGTGCCAACAGCGGGACAGGATGCCTGCTCCTCCACCCCCCCCTCCTCCCCCCGGTCCCCCGCCTCCCCCCACCTTCAGTCAGGTCAGTGATCTGGTGGAGCAGATTTCATCCACATGGTTTTATTTTTTTAATACACTTTAATGGACAAACCTGTTGACAAATATGTCAAATAAGCAGATGAGTGTTACCGTTTATATTACCAGTTTTCTTTTTTCTACATGTATTCTGTAATTCGAAACGCCAGCGTCTTTCTGCGGGTTCGCTGCCACTTCTCCTGCCACCTCCGTCACCATCGTTCTCTTTAGGTGGAGCCGTGGCTCGGGCGCCGCAGCGAGCCATGCATGCCGATGGAAGGCGGCCATGACGGCACATTTTGCTGCTGCGTGTTTGCTTTTGTTTGTCTACTACGCTTCCGACTGGAGGAACTCGAGGTCTGATTACCAATTCGTTATTATTATTTTAATTTTTTTTACTGCCTCCTCAGGCGAACACGACTCCCCCCAAACTGGGCTCGTCCGAGACTAAAGGACGAGGAGCGCTGCTGTCGGACATCTGCAAAGGCACCCGGCTGAAGAAGGTGGGCGTGGTCAACGACCGCAGCGGCCCCATCATAGAGAGTGAGTCGCTGCCAGCGGACTTGAGACCTGCAGGTCTCCTTTCTGACGGACTGGATAGTTACTTATGAGTTCATGTTTGTGTTTTGACCTCGGCTCATTTTTTTCCCATCAGAAGCAGGAGGAGGTGGAGGAGGTGGAGGTGGCGGAGGAGGAGGAGGTGGAGGTGGTTTCAGTGGTGGAGCGCCGATGGGAATGGGAGGCCTTTTCCAAGGCGGCGTGCCAAAATTACGCTCAGTCACAGGTAAAGAAATATTCTATGCTTTATTTCTAACATGATTATTTATATTTGAAAGCGTTTGTATATTGATGAATCTGTTAATAGTTTGTTAACTCAGGAAGTCTGTCAATAAAAGAGGGTTAACTTGTATAAACTATATGTAGATAAAGTCACAGTGCAAGAAGAGGCCTCCACGTGAATAATGTAGAGAACAGAAATTATATTAGTCAGAAATGACCGCGATGCAAAAGGGTTTTAACAAGATGAACCAAAGTGTTTCGACGCGCGTTTACTTTTCAATCTCTTCGTCCACAATCTTTCTTTAATGAAGAGATTCACGCCGTTTAAAAGCCGATAAACATGAACGCCGTCTCCGCTTTATGGACCGCAGTATTCGTTCTTCCACTCTGTGAAGCAGGGATGTGAATTATGAATGAAGTCTCTTATTTTAGAACCTCAAGCTGTTAACCAGCGACTGACCTTTGACCTCCTTACATTGGCGAGAAGCAAAATGTAACTTGGTGGTCAATATTTAAACAATCTGAGTTTCTAACGGTGTTTGTTGAAGGCAGAGACGACATCGGCGTAGTGACCATTTTTCGGCCTCTTGGATCCTTCTGACGTGTGACGAGCCGCTGCTTCTTTTTACTCCTGAACTCCACCTCTCTCTCCTCCACCCAGACGGCTTAGTCGGCGGCTCGGTGGGCAGGTCGGCCCTGCGGCCCCCGGGCTCCCGGGCCGCCGCCCCTCGCCCTCCCGCAGGCTCCTCCACGCCCTCTCCGGCCAACAAGCCGTCTCCCCCGGAGCACCAGCGCTCCCACCGCCCCTCGCTCCCCGACATCTCGCGCCCCCCCAACAACAACGGCTCCTCCACGGGCGGCGGGATGAAGCACAGCACCTCCGCTCCGCCGCCTCCTCCGCCCTTCAACCGAGGAGGCCGCAGCAACGCGCCGCCTGCCCCGCCTACCCCCAACATGAAACCACACGCTCCGCCTTCCTCGTCCTCCTCTCACAGCCGAGAGAAGCCCCTCCCACCCACGCCTCACCGAGGCCACACCCCTCCCGGCCCCGTGAAGGCACCTCCGTCTTCTACCAGGCCGCCAACCGGCGGCTCCTCGGCTCCTCCACCTCCTCCGCCCTACAGACCGCACACGTCGGGCAGCGTCGCCAACGGGCCGTCCCAGGTAGATGGCGGCGGAGGGGGCGGAGCTCCACAGCTGCCGCAGAGGCACAACTCCCTGCACAAAAAACACACATCGGGGGGCGGCACCCAAGGACGCAGCCACGCTCCTCCGCCTCCTCCATCACCGTCTCCATCCTCCCAGCAGGCTAGCAGGCCGCCGCCGCCCGCCAGAGAGCCGCCGGGACGCAAATCAGGTACCAGCCGCCGCTTTTTACAGGTCAGAGGTCAACAGTCAAAGGTCGCCTCGGTCCGTCCTTGAGATTCTTTTTGTGCTTTTTAAAAGCCACAATTAAAGGAAAAGTCCGTCTAAAAACACAATCATCAGCCCGTCTGTCGATCGGCTTCAGTGATCCAGATGTGCAGCAAACGCCTGTAATCTGTTTTAACTGGAGGCCAATCATCCAGTTTGTCTCCGACTCCCTGAACACGGATGTGTTGAGCTGTGTGTCCCCGTGATGAGGACGACCTCCCAGCCGGAGGAATGTTCATCTCTTTGGCTTCCTCCACACACCTCGTCCACTGTAGATCTTTTTTTTATGAGAAAGTGGAGCCGCGTTCGCCCGTCTCTTCTGCAGCGAGGAGGCTGCAGAGCGCCTAACACCTCATTGAAGGTTACAGTGTTTCACGTTCAACGCCTCCTTATTGTCGGGTGTGAGAAGAGAATCCAACACAGCTGGGAAATAAAAACTATAAGAATGAGATTTTCTTTTGTCGCTCGTTTAGCTGATTCTGATTCGTCTTTAAGGTGCCGATAGTCAGACTGCTGCAGATATCAACAGGAACTTTTTGAATATCTTTTCATTGTGTGTGTGTGTGTGTGTGTGTGTCACAGCTCCCCAGGTGCCCCCCTCTGTTTCTCGTAACGGCGGTCGGGATGCCCCTCCGCCCCCTCCTCCTCCTCCGTACCGCGTGCACAGCTCTGTTGCCTCAGAGGCACACAGCCGAGTGGGAAAACCGCCTCCGCCTCCCTCCTCCTCCTCATCGTCACTGTCCTCCCGCACCCCGGCTGTTCCCCCTCCGCCGCCCCCGCCCATCCGCAACGGCCACTCCTCCATCACCTCCATGAAGTCCAGCGTAGGTGAGTCGTGGTTTACAGTTCCATCCGTGGAGGGAGATCCCGGCACGGTAACAAACGACCCCAACGGTACAAATAATAAACAAAATGAGGATTCTGCAGATAGCAGGAAGTTAAAGTTAATGCGACTCGTCATACTTTGATTGCAGTATTAACAAATGTAGAAAATCAGGATGCAGTTGACTTAAAACATTGTTAGCGGGTTATTAAAAGTGACTTTGAAGTCCTTCAGTTTTGCTACTTCAGCATAGAGCTCCTTTACTTCATTGAAGAGATCCTAAATACTGTAATAAAGGTTTGATTACAATAGTTTAACATTCAGATCTTTCTCAGTAGCTAATAAAGCTTTAATAGCTGTGTGTGGATTACACTGTTCATGTGAGCCTAATTGACTTTTAATTACTTGTTTTCTTCCTTTTTAGATGATTTTGAATCCAAGTTTAACTTCCACCCTCTTGAGGACCTTCCACCTCCAGAGGAGTACCGGCATTTCAGCAAGGTCTACCCAAGTAAGACCAACAAGGGTGAGGGCACACGCAGCAGCACTTCCTCATCCAAAGTTACAATATTCATTGTCTGAACTATCGTCACTTCAACATCCATCGCAGCAGAAAACTTTGTTACTCGTTTCCAGCTTTTCGTCTGTGTGGAATTTATAATCTGTTTATCAGTTAAAAATGTCCGTGTGACTGACTGTCTGTCTGTCTGTCTGTCTGTCCGCCTTCAGCCATGATGAGAGGAGCTCCTCCTGCGCCGCCGGTGGGGAGGTGAGCGGAGCTCAGCGCTCTAATCCCACCACACACACTAACACTAAAGCCACCAGCTGGAAGCACAACGTGAGCACGCGACGCCTCAGCAGGTTTGACTCGCCGGTCACTTTCTGTCTGCACGAGAGGAACAGATTTAAAAAAAAAGAGCCACTGGTGGAAGCCGTCGAGGCTTCTGTTCCACACCAAACATATCAGGACCAAACGGACTGTGTGCATTCCATCTGCTTACCTTTCATCCATCATCATGTTTGTCGTAATTACAATAACGTTTGATTTCATTGTTTTGGTGTTGGCATTGATTTCTGCAGGAAACCTATTTTTGTGTTTTTTTTCCAGATGAATTCCAGTAGAAGTGGTGATGCCATGAATGTGGGGGTGTAATGACAGTTCATGTTTTTATTAGATGTTATTGATGCTTATACTTTGTCTTGAATAGTCATTCCAGGAGTGCCAGTTGAGGGTGCGTTTGATTCAACTCTCTGTCAGTGTGCCAAACTGGGTGGAGTCAAATCAACAGCATGTTTCCATGCATGTTAGAGATATATTTATATATAATATAGACGTTTTAAATGCTCCAAACAGAAGGCAAGTTGCAAAGCTGACAAAGTTCCCACAGAATCTTTGCCTACTTGCTTCTTTCAACCATTTTGCCATTTTATTTGGGTGGTGTTTTTATATTTCCACCTTGCACAGAGACGCTAAACCGAGAACCGCTGTGCATGAGGCTCGTTCGTGCTCTCGCGCCGAGATCAGAAATCCACCAAGAATACGAGGCTTTGTCTCCAATTCTTTTTGTTTTCTCGCCTGCTTGACAAACCGTTGCTCCCGGCGTCCGTCTCAAACGCACTACGGCTCCTCATCGGAGGGGAAACACTACGTTATTGTCGGTTCACAGGATCGAGACTGATCCAGAGTCTTCAAGGTGTTCATAAGGGATGGTTCACCCACTTCCCGTTTCTTTTAACGCCCCTTTTTAATGTCCCAGAAGGACTTCTACGGCCAGAGGACGATGCGTTGTTTAATTGCTATGCAAGAAGCAGTTTGTACAGATTGTAGTTGGTATCAACTAATTAAAAAAAATAATAATAAAAAAATCAACACTTAAGTGCCAGAGAACGGTATCAGCAGACGGAGGCTCTTTACTTTTCTCCAAGCTTGACTTTAAAACACTAAATATATCCAGACCCAGATGAACCAGGTAGATGCTCAGTGACGCAGCGCCCCCTGCTGGGCTTCGCCTTACACTGATCGGTGGTCACTCATTGGTACCAGTACTTTTATTTTTTTTTTAGGGAATAAGGTAAAATAAATAAGAAACCAGTTTATTTGAAAATGCAATAAATATTGTATATTTACATTAAGGAGTATAGTAATCATAGCTATTGATCTATTTTGTTGTAAAAAGCTTGTAATATAGGAAGGAGAAATGATTTTAACAATGTTCCGCCGAGCTTTGGACCGATGGACTCTGGATCTTCTCTCTGGACGTTTTGCCAGCGAGACTTTTTTGAGGTTTTCTCCGGTCCTTTAGTCGGGGGCTGTGAAGGAGGCAGGTGACCACGCGGAGACAGTGGAACCGCACTTCCTGTCCCAGACGCTTGCTCACGGTGGCGTCTGCTCCTGTTCTCACTTTGTCTAAGAGCAGAACTCATTTCATGTTAATCAACCATGTTTTTATCATTTGGAATAATTTCAAATAAAGATGGGGAAAAGGGTACCTGACGTGCTTTTGTTTACTCTTCCTGCGCTTGATGTGTGTTAATAAGTTTGTTCTTTGTAGGGATCGGAGAAACATTTCAGTCCTTTACTGAAGTCACATGGGTGTTTGAATGTGTTCATATAACCACTGGTTTGATCTTGAGTCATTTCTTTTTTGAGCTTATATATTTTATTAATGTCTAATTAGAATAAGTAAAAAGAGTAAATGTTCAATACTAAAGTACAGTGGAAGTCTAAATGTGCATAAATATACAATCAAGCAGTTTAGCTTTTTTTACACTTGTTTTTTAATGTTTTCATTTTATTTTTTGCATATTTTCTATTCAAATGTTTGACTTTTTTAGTAACCTATTACTACTAAAAAGTTTGAAAATCTATACAATGGGGAATATGTAGAGCGTGTGCCTTCAATATTAACTTTATTCCGCCAAAAGTTTATTTTTGAAACTCGCGCGAAACTTCAGCCAACGAGCAACCAGACGCTCCCCTAAATAACGCGGGAGATTGAAGGGAGGAGCCTAAGAAACACGGATGTAGTGCAGACTTTCAGAATTGCAGCATGTGGAAGGAGGTCTCTGTCAGGTAAAATATAACTTTATTTTATAAACCTGTGTGCGACGGGTTTAAAAGAACTAGCCAAGCTTAACTTATTCAAGATTTGACTACATTTCTTTTTCATTTTCGGGACCGTTTGTTTTGTAAATGTAAATCAACTTTAGTGTCCACATCGAGTGACTTTCCTGTGAAAAACGTTCAATATACGTAAAGTAAATCCTTTCATTTACATGGGGTATTTTTTTTATTAAGACTGCCTGTATTGCTATAATTATGGAGAAAAAAGAAACCTGCAATACGACAACAATTGTATTAATTAAAACTTCCATAAAACCGTTCCAATTAAAACAGCACGTGCCGATCTCCTCACTCACTGGCTCGGTTCCGGGGACCGTTTTTGCCGGAAGCTGGTTCTGCGTTCACCTGTCGGGATCGCGCACGGCTGAAACCACACTAGAAATTAAGCTTTAACGTCCTATGGCAAAGGAATATTTTAGTGACAATGATGTCTTCGGGGTTCATCAGTGGTGATGAATAAAAGTCTGACGTCTATGAACATTTAGTCATCAACGTTGTAATAGACTACAAATGAGTATTTTCGTTACACAATTGGTCAAAACTCTTTACTAGTTCACTTGAGACATTTTGGCTCTGAAGTGTTCATTTGATACATTAGGTGATTTTGTGCTTAAATAACACAGGAATCCAGTCCAAAGAAATACTATTTAACTGTAGAATATACATCAGAGTTCACTCAGAAATATGTTATTGATTAATTATTTCATTGAAGTTATTATGGGACTTTAATCTTGTCTCCTTGTGGACAAACGTGGAAGTGTTTTCAAGCACCAGCCTCCCTTCACAAAAGCTCTCATTAAGCTCTAAAACGGACATTAAAGTCCAACCGGCTCCGTCTCCCGGTGCCTGCTGTCCCCCAGGCGGGGCCCGGTCACCCGGCCCGGGTCTCGGGGAGCGGGGGGGCCCCGGTCACTCGGTGTTTGGCTCCCAGAGAGAACCGGAAGGGGAGGCTTTGATGACGTATTGACTCGCTGCACTACGCGGGAAATTAAAAACGCGAAAACAGAGCAGCGAGAGCGCCGGCACATTCGTTGTTTCCGGGAAGCCGAACGGCCTAAAATATGATCGTGACAATGATGACTGTCCTCGTGGTTCTTCACGCCGCTGTCGGTAAGTTTAATCTCGTGGATTTAGTATGAAACACGTACATGAAAACCCCGGTGTTTCTTTCAGGAGACTTCCGCATGTAAACAGTAATGTAACGCAGCGCTGCGTGTTAGCATGTTGTGCTAGGCTAACCTTTCGTGCTGCTCGCTGTATTTAAACTTTCTCAACTCGAGTTTTGACGCGTTTGAAAACGTCTCAATAACCTGAACAGGTGAAGATATTTCACCTGTTCAACAGGTGAAGATATTTCACCTGTTCAGCACAAACAACCGTACAGCAAATATCAAAGTTAAATCAACATCTGCGTGTCAACAAACAACAAGTGCTCAAGAGCCTCATTGACGTATTCAGGGGATTATAGATGTAATTGAGCTGTAGTGTGACAGCTCTTTCTGTGATTGTGTGAAGACGTCTTTATTGTCTCCTGCAGGTAGAAAAACCCACAAGTGGCAATAATGGCTGCATTGTTAATTCATCACAATTAATATGACTATTCGTTCATATGAGGCAAAGTGAGATGAGAACAGGAGCGTGTCCGTTTTAAGCTAAATGCCGTGTTCCTGCGTCCCTCAGGAGCCTCCCCGGCCGTGTGCCCGATCCCGCTGATCGAGGCGGTGGAAGGAGACAACGTCACGCTGCCATGTCACCTGTATCCCGAGGTCAACGCGGAGGGTCACACGTTCGACTGGAAGAGGGACGGCCTCGAGAAATGGGTCTTCGTTTATCGGGATAAGAAGCCAGTTGAAGACGACCAGAGGGACGAGTACAAGAACCGGACGCGCGTCGACCCGATGGGGCTGGAGAGAGGAAACATGTCGCTGCTCATCTTCCCGGTGAAGCTGTCCGACTCTGGATCGTACAAATGTTTTAATGCGAAGATGAATTCCTTCTGCTACGCAAACCTCTCTGTTGGTGAGCTTCCACGTTTGTTACATATATAACATTTATAAATAACGTGATCAATAATGTTGATTTAACAGGTTGACACATTATGTGTGATGTTGCAAGAGACATTTCTAGAATACGTTGAACATTCTTATATGTATGTATTTATTTATTTATATTCAACAGTCCCAAAGGACCAAACAAAGAGTCGTGATTCCACTACAAATGTCCCTCCAATGTCAGAAGACCCTGGTAAAGTATTTTTGAATTATTCTTCATGAAACTCTGGTCTCCTCTTATTCCGCGGAGTCTTTGAACACAACATAATCTGAGCAGGACTTGTGTGTCTTAATGAAAACCTGCTCCTCTTCATCGTCTGTCTGATGATCCTTCAGGTGCTGAGAAGAAGACGGAAGTCTGGATTGTTGGTTCTGTCCTCGGTGTCCTCGTTGTCCTCGGTGTCCTCGTTGTTGTTGTCGTTGTTGTTCTTGTGAGGAAATATAAAGTAGTAGGTGAGTTACAGACTTCTCTCAGCATTGTGTTGTTGGTGGTGAAATGTACAAACTGCACACAGACTCACATCTTGTGCTCCGATGTAAATAAGTTATTAATGTACGTTATAAAGCGATAAACACGGAGGATCTTGTTGAGATCCAAACCTGAGCAGACGTCACAGAACCTTCTCCAGCGTACCGCTTTAAAAGTATAGAATACTGCGTTACAGCACTTACTCATCAATAACTCTGTTATTAAGTAAATGACAACAAACATAAATATATTAAACAGGAAGTGAAATAAGGTCATTAATTTGCTCTTAAAGAACATATTACTTATTTATGTATCAGACACATTTCAGACTATTTTGTGGAAATGTTCCATGAATTAATTCCTGTACTACAGTTTTTCTCCAACGCAAACATATAAATAATGAAACCGTTTATCAACAAAAAGCCTCCAGACTGCTGAAGTCCAATATCTACATCTACATTCTTCACCATGAACCTTCTGAAGTTCTACGAATCAACGTCTCAAAGCTGTTTCCATGTTCTCACAGACATTTGGAGGAACTTCAGAGGAAGGAGGCCAAACAACGATGAACCGGTAACCGCGGTGACGGGGCCGAGGGAGCTGGGACAAGACGCTCTCGCAGCCGAAGAAGCTTCCATCGAGTTGATGGTCAACAACAACAACAACAACAACAACCACCAATCCGGAAAATCCTCCGAGGTTTATTAATGATGATTGTATTCCTCTGTTTGATTAGAAAAACTAAATTCTCTCACTTTGTCTTCCAATGTCCCCAAACTATAATATCTCCTGGAGGGAGATCTCCACAAACGAGGGGGACAAAGTCGTGGAGGAAAATACGGGACAAATGTGTCCTTGATGAAAAGCAGCAGTGTGGATGCACGGGGCAATAAAGTCTCTGATAAATAAATAAAGCAACCAACGACTTCCACACACAAAGACGTGACTCTCCAGGTCGTCTTCAACAAAACACGTCAGATCCAAAGAGAAACAGTCGAGTTAAACTAAGTAACTTGATATGAGTTGAGACCAACACCGTAGCTTTAAAGGTGGACTCTAAACATAAGATCTGTCCCGTGAAGCTGTGCTATACCAAATCTAAGCTCCCTTTTTTATTTTTGTATAGTTTTAAAATATATTAACCTTTTTAAGCTCATAAGTAACCAGTTAAGATGAATGTGATCGTGTCCCCTTTTTATTTACGTGTGATGTTTTTTTCCCCCACTTTTATTTATCTTTTTACTTCTGCCTGTATTTGTTGTCTCTGTTGGAAGTTAATAAACTGTTGTACTTTAAGGAGCAGTTTCCTGTGATTACTTGGTGAATATGCTGTGATGGTCTCTGCAAACGGTCCAGTGTTCAGGAATCAGGAAACATTTATTAGCCAAAATATGTCAAACATACAAGGAATTTGTCTTGGCGGTTAGTGCGCGACAGTAGACAGACAAGACAACAGTGCACAAGTCATACAATAAAGTGGAATGACATGCTAATGCAATGGGTTAGTAGAATAAGGCTATGGGTTAGTATAAAACGAGGGAATAAAGTTAAAAAAAAAAAATTAAATATTAAAAAGTTAAAGAAAAGTATTAAGCATAAAGTGCACTAACGAACAAGTAACAGACAAGAGACAAAGTGACAAAGTGATGAATCACAGTTAAAGTGGCGTGTGCAGTGTGAAGGGGAGTGACCGGTGGAGTGTTATAGTCAGTCAGTGGGGGACCGACTGCCGACGGGAAGAAACTGTTGGTGTGGCGGGAGGTCTTAGTCCTGATGGACCTCAGCCTCCTGCCAGATGGAAGGGGCACAAACAGTTTTTGTCTGGGGTGAGAGGGGTCGGTCACCATCTTTTTAGCTCGCTTCAGAGACCTGGAAGCGAACAAGTCCTGCAGGGACGGCAGATTGCAGCCGATCAGCCTCTCTGCAGAGCGGATGACACGCTGCAGCCTGCCCTTGTCCTTGGCTGTGGCTGCAGCGTACCAGACGGTGATGGAGGAGCAGAGGATGGACTCCATGATGGCCGTGTAGAAGTGGACCATCATCGTCTTTGGCAGGTTGAGTTTCTTCAGCTGCCTCAGGAAGAACAACCTCTGCTGAGCCTTCTTGGTGATGGAGCTGATGTTCAGCTCCCACTTGAGGTCCTGGGTGATGATGGAGCCCAGGAAACGGAAGGAATCCACAATAGTGACGGGGGAGTCACACAGGGTGATGGGGGAGGTTGGGGCTCTGTTCCGCCGGAAATCCACAACCATCTCCACTGTCTTTAGAGCGTTGAGCTCCAGGTTGTTCTGGCTGCACCACGACACCAGATGGTCAGACTCCCACCTGTAGGCGGACTCGTCCCCACCAGAGATCAGTCCAATGAGGGTGGTGTCATCTGCAAACTTCAGGAGCTTGACGGACTGGTGGCTGGAGGTGCAGCTGTTGGTGTACAGGGAGAAGAGCAGAGGGGAGAGAACGCAGCCTTGGGGGGAACCGGTGCTGATGGTCCGAGAGGCTGAGACATGTTTCCCCAGCTTCACGTGCTGCTTCCTGTCAGACAGGAAGTCTGTGATCCACCTGCAGGTGGAGCTCAAAATGAAACCTCTTAATTCTTTTCTCTTAATGAGGGAATTTCAATTGTGAGACTTATATTCTGGTTATTAGTCTCTTTATAAGCCGGTGCCCTGTTGTTCATTTGTTTTCTGAGTGATTATTGATAATTCTATTGATGTTAGCTCATCGGTAGCTGCTATCCTCTCAACAGGACACACGCTAAAACAATGTGTAGACCACGCGGGCTTCTTTGATCACTGGAACGCGTTTCAGAGAGAACCTGGTCGGATGGAGCAGATCTCAAGGGGCCCATGGGGCCCCATGGGGGATTTTGGTTCATCTGATCGATAGCCGCGTGTGTCTGGAGTTTCTGCGATAGGTTGCGCCAAGCATCCATATTTGCAATGTGCTCAGCAGACTTTTCATGCTGTCTCTGGTGGGCTGAAATGTTTTCCCAATCATTAAACCCATTCTCACTCGGCTGATTGCTCCTTACCCTGTTTCCAAATAGGCGGCAGCAAAAACAAACAACGCGGCCCTTCTTTTCACTGTAGACAAGCCATGATCTGCATATCTGTTCTCCATTTCTCATCTGCATGTAGTAGTTGCTGCTGGTAAATCTGTGCCCGTCTTCATTCCTCAGGAAGATCCCGTCCTTCACCTGAAGTGGTCCTCTCTCCACTATTGAGCAGCGTGCACTATCCGACAGCTGTTTTGGCCAGAGTGCTGGATCATTTCCTAGAAGTACAATGGATGATGCTGGAGAGCTCTCACAGCTCATCCCTGTCTCAGTCTGAAAACAAAAGCAAAACACAGCATAAGGCTTTTGCCCAGTGGTGAAATGCACAGTATATTTACTAATCTAGACATTTGAGGAATTCATGCAACTTCAATTTTGTCTGCTCTGCTGTATCTTCGAGGCAAACACTGTACTTTAAACTCCACTACAAATGAAATGGCTGGTTACATATTTCAAACCTTTCCTGCCTCGTGAAAACCATGTACCCTCCACATAAATTCATCAAAAATTAGCTCAATCTTAAACATCTACAGCAGTAAATGATATGGATGTAACACGGAGGGATCGTTTTTTTAATGCAGAGTGATAGTTTTTAATAACTTCAAGAACTTACATAGTTTCTTATGTTTTAAATGCATAACTTTACACATTCAGGACTAAATCCCCCTTGGACAGTTTTGATACTCACTTGTTCATTTGCACACGACAGACCCTCCTCAACAGGTTGAGCAAGTGGTGGGTTGCTGCTGCTGCTGCTGGCCGCTGCCGTAGGAGCAGTGACGAAACTTGTCACTTTCTCCAACTTTGAAGTAAATGTTTTGTTTTCTTCCTCCTTCCTCCTCTTTTCAGCACCGCTGGGGTAGCTTCGCTTCATCCTTGTGATACTCTTACTCTCTTTCGCCATTTCGCACAGTTTGGTTTTCGTTTTGCCGGTTTCTTGGATCCGTTCTGCACATGCGCAGTAAAGATGGACTGATCCAACGTAGTGGACACTAAAGGGGGGGAGGGGGGGCGACACACACGTAATACAATACGCATTCTCCTGGCATTTTAGCGAGAGAATTTTGAAAATATATAGAATTAATATGCGCAAATAAGTAATAACTTTATTAACCATTAGTGTATGAGGATTTTTACGGGGCCCCTCAGGAACTTGGGGCCCTAGGCAACCGCCTAGTTTCGCCTAATGGTAAGTTTGCCCCTGGTTATAGTAGCCTTACCGCCATGGTTCTGTGTGTGGGAGGGTAAAATATTATTGTACGGTTGGGGTGCGTGCGTGTGTGTAAATCGAGGTTGGGGTGCGTGCGTGTGTTGGGGTGCTTGCGTGTATTGGGGTAAGTCGAGGTTGGGGCGCGTGTGTGTTGGGGCGCGTGCGTGGGTTGGGGTGCGTGCATGTGTTGGGGTGCGTGTAAATCGAGGTTGGGGCGCGTGTCTGTGCGGCTGTAAGGCGTCTGTGGCTGAAGTGAAATGTGGGCGGGACGAGAGAGAGAGAAAGAAAGAAAGAGCAGTAGGGCCGAGATCCTCCATGTGTCAGTGGCAAGTGGGTGGCAACTTTGTGGCAGGCAGCGGCAATCGCCAGTAAATCAGTCGGCGTCACAACGGCACGCTGGGTGGGAGGAGCCAATTTTTCCGCCGTACGGCGCGCAGACTTTAAAGGCAGTATTAAAGGCGGTGCTTATTTCAGTGATTCAACTTCAGGTTGCAAAAGGAGCACCTACTCAATACCACTTTCTTCTCTCCTCTGAGTGGATCATGTCTGTGATACTTTTACGTCTCCTGAGTTTGTTTCTGTTGGCGGACCTCCTCACAGGTAGGTTCCTGTTATTCTCCCAGATTAATTTCCTCGAGTGCGTTTAAATTGAGGTTGGCGCGCATGCGTGTGACATGTCAATATCACAATGAACCCACCGAAGCCTCTGCATGTTATTTAACACATGAAAACACCACATTAATTGGGGGGTCGTCGTGGCGCAGGGGTTAGAGAAGGTGTGCTGGAAAGCACAAGGTTGGTGGTTCGATTCCAGGCTGCCCCATGTTCCATGTCGAAGTGCCAGGCAAAAATGTGAAAAAGCCATGGGTTTAAAGTGAAATGTAAGTCGCTTTGGATAAAAGCGAAATGACCTGTAATGTAATTAATTATTCTACTAAAACTTGGCTCACGTGTCTCAAATAAAATTAAATAAAATAAAATATTTACAGCAGCTGACCTGTCGTACAAATAACATTCTGGGAAAGGCTCCTCCGTTCTGCACATGCGCCGCAGCATCCTTGTGACACAAAAGTTGCCTGCCACTGCCACAAGGAGGAGGATCTCGGCCCAACTGAAAAAAACAGTGTTACCAACAATATATAATCAGCTGAAGTGTGAACATGTGAAAGAAGTACACATTATTTCGGCCACATATTGTGAAAGTGTGTGTGTGTGTGTGTGTCTCTTCTCTCCTGCCGTTCCCTCCGGTGTGATTTGTGAATTTGTGTTTCCTCCAGGAGACCAACAACTCGTTTGTCTGGAGTCAATCCGGGCTTCCGAAGGTGAAGACGTCACTCTCCGATGTCACTCGCATCCCAAACTCCACTTGGACGAGCAGACGGTGGAAGTGAGCAGAGACGACCTCCCCGGGAGGGACAACATCGTCCACCTCTATCGGGACAGAAAGGATGATTTTGAGAACCAGATGACTCGGTACAGAGACAGAACCCGTCTGGACCCTGTAGACCTGACCTCAGGAAATGTCACGCTGAGGATCTGCTCGGTAGACGAGTCGGACTCTGGACGCTACGTGGTCTTTATCCCAAAGCTGCACATCCGTTTTGTCATTAACGTCACCATCAGTAAGCGTTGTTTTATTCTGACACAATCAACCTAACGTGTTTCTAAGCGTCTCCACAAAATGATCAGAGTGAATGTTAAGAAGAACACGAGAGATTAAAGTGACTAAAATGTGTGTTCTTTACACATTTTAACTTTTATCCATGTTACTAAAATATATTCCATCCTGCTACTGAGAACATTCTTATATTCATTTCAACAGAAGCTAAAGACCCAAAGAACCAGACGAAGAGTCGTGATCCTACAAATGTCCCTCCAACGTCGGATGATCTTGGTAAAGTATTTTTGAATTATTCTTCATGAAACTCTGGTCTCCTCTTATTCCGCGGAGTCTTTGAACACAACATAATCTGAGCAGGACTTGTGTGTCTTAATGAAAACCTGCTCCTCTTCATCGTCTGTCTGATGATCCTTCAGGTGCTGAGAAGAAGACGGCGGCTGTCTGGATCATTGTTGGTTCTGTCCTCGGTGTCCTCGTTGTTGTTGTTGTTGCTGTTGTTCTTTTGAGGAAATATAAAGTAGTAGGTGAGTTACAGACTTCTCTCAGCATTGTGTTGTCGGTGGTGAAATGTACAAACTGCACACAGACTCACATCTTGTGCTCCGATGTAAATAAGTTATTAATGTACGTTATAAAGCGATAAACACAGAGGATCTTGTTGAGATCCAAACCTGAGCAGACGTCACAGAACCTTCTCCAGCGTACCGCTTTAAAAGTATAGAATACTGCGTTACAGCACTTACTCATCAATAACTCTTTTATTAAGTAAATGATAACAAACATAAATATATTAAACAGGAAGTGAAATAAGGTCATTAATTTGCTCTTAAAGAACATATTACTTATTTATGTATCAGACACATTTCAGACTATTTTGTGGAAATGTTCCATGAATTAATTCCTGTACTACAGTTTTTCTCCAACGCAAACATATAAATAATGAAACCGTTTATCAACAAAAAGCCTCCAGACTGCTGAAGTCCAATATCTACATCTACATTCTTCACCATGAACCTTCTGAAGTTCTACGAATCAACGTCTCAAAGCTGTTTCCATGTTCTCACAGACATTTGGAGGAACTTCAGAGGAAGGAGGCCAAACAACGATGAACCGGTAACCGTGGTGACGGGGCCGAGGGAGCTGGGACAAGACGCTCTCGCAGCCGAAGAAGCTTCCATCGAGTTGATGGTCAACAACAACAACAACAAAAACAACAACCAATCCGGAAAATCCTCCGAGGTTTATTAATGATGATTGTATTCCTCTGTTTTGTTAGAAAAACTAAATTCAGGAAAATCTGTCACTTTGTCTTCCAATGTCCCCAAACTATAATATCTCCTCTGCAGGTGTCGCACCCACATCTCAGGTATTCAAGTGATTTTAAATCCTTTAAGTCTTAGCTACTGTAGTTAGGGACACGCAAGGGACACGCAGGGGACACGCAAGACCCCCTCGCGTGTCCCTCGTGTGTCTTTTCACCCCTCCTTGCGTGCGTCGACCCATTTTTCTAGACTTGCGACGCCGCACCAGGCTGTGATTGGTCTGCTGACTACGTCCTTTACGGAGTCTCGCGTCTCCGTTTTCACAGCACAATACGGCCGTTATTGAAAGGAAGAACGTCGACGAGAGAACGGATCAGATTGAAGAGCTTTTGTCTGAAGAAATGTGTAAATATGAGCACTTGTACGAGACACAGTAGCTTTAAAGGTGGACTCTAAACATAAGATCTGTCCCGTGAAGCTGTGCTATACCAAATCTAAGCTCCCTTTTTTATTTTTGTATAGTTTTAAAATATATTAACCTTTTTAAGCTCTTTTTAAAAGCTCATACGTAACCAGTTAAGATGAATGTGATCGTGTCCCCTTTTTATTTACGTGTGATGTTTTTTCCCCCACTTTTATTTATCTTTTTACTTCTGCCTGTATTTGTTGTCTCTCTGTTGGAAGTTAATAAACTGTTGTACTTTAAGGAGCAGTTTTCTGTGATTACTTGGTGAATATGCTGTGATGGTCTCTGCAAACGGTCCAGTGTTCAAAATGAAACCTCTTAATTCTTTCCTCTTAATGAGGGAATTTCAATTGTGAGACTTATATTCTGGTTATTAGTCTCTTTATAAGCCGGTGCCCTGTTGTTCATTTGTTTTCGGAGTTATCTTGGTGATTATTGATCATTCTATTGATGTTAGCTCATCGGTAGCTGCTATCCTCTCAACAGGACTTGTATTGAGGTGCTTGTGGACACATGGGACGGGACATGAAATTATTATTGATTTTTATTGAGAAACACCACTTTCTCCACAGTATTGGGGTTGAGTCGGTTTCTCAGATACTGTTTCCCCAGCTTTAGAAAAAAGGCGCTCACGCGGCACGATGAGGCAGGAATGCTCATAAGATTACGTGTTAATACAAATAGATGTGGGTACACGTGTTTGTGTTTGACCCAATATTTTAGCGGGTCTTCACTCCGATGGATGTTTGATTCAGCCAAATATCTGGTGGTCTCCACAATAAAAATAAACATCCATAATTACACGATACAAATGACAGACTTTGCCTGCCTATTGCCAACCGTGTTAGAGGAAATCAAAATGAAGAGCTGCCACATCTCGGAGCGACCTCTCTCTGCCACAGGTTCCATTGGAAATTTGCGCTTTGCTACGACTACTACAAGTACTACTACTACTACTACTACTACAACACTGACTTTGACTGTATCAAGCAGACAAGACCGAACCCTGTTTCCGGCCCATTGAATCAAATCGAAGCGGTCACGTGACGCAGGGGCGCAGCTTCGGACGTCACTGATCACGTGATCAGCAGCGAACGAACCGAGCAGCGAGACGTTTCTTCTCCTCGCGCTGGTTCACATTTCGACACAAGCGTCGAAGCAGGAGGGTCGGAGGTAACGACACTACCGCTGAGTGGGGAGAAGCGGCTGGAAACGCGAAGCGGTTGGTGGTGAACCCGTGTGCTTCCACTCGGACTCATGCTCACTCCGGACGGTCACCCGGCCTCCCGCCCGCTCGGGGGTTGCCGGGGGACGGCTAGCGGGAGCGGACGCACCGGCTACGGGGGCGGGCTGGCTAGCTACAGCGGCTAACGACGGAGCTTCCGCGGCGCGGAGCCGCGCTTCTAGCTCACTAAGCCTCGCCTCCAATTCATCAAATATACTACACTTCTTACATGTACCATTATCCGTAAGGGAGGCAGAGGAATAGCTAAACATGTGACACACCGAGCAAGAAAGATCACCGCTCAGGGGGCCAGGTTGATTGGCGACGTTAAATTGCCCGTAGGTGTGTGAATGGCGACCAGTCCAGGATGTATTTGTATTAGAACAGATTTAGTCGTAGTTTTTATTTTTTAAGATCGTTTTAGTCTCGTCTTAGTCATGAAAAAAAGGTTTATTAGCGAAAAAATTGTCCTCACAGTAGAAGCTCCACTGCCCTTGTTAGCGCTCTACTTCGGTTTGTAATCGAAGTGCTTTCACATATAAGTCGACGCGATGAACACTGATACTCAACACGCGCGTCTGTTCTTGGCGGAGCGACACACAAGCTCCACTGCCCTCGTTCGCGCACTACTTTGTCCTCCGCACCGAGTGGATGATGTTCGTGATGCTTTGTTTTTTTCTGTTGGCGCATTCCGCCACAGGTAGGTTCATGTCATTATTCTACGAGATTAACTTCAAATCAAACATTTGTGTGTGTTTGCTGTTGTGTTTTGGGGCGCGTGCGTGTGTTGGGGCGCGTGCGTGTTTTGGGGTCCGTGCGTGTTTTGGGGTCCGTGCGTGTTTTGGGGCGCGTGCGTGTTTTGGGGCGCGTGTAAGTCGAGGCCTCATATGGGTGAAAAGTATTGTGACTTTGTCAACCAATAACATTTTTGTCTCGTTAACAGGAGTTAGAATAGATTTAGTCGTAGTTTTTATTTTTTTAGATCGTTTTAGTCTCGTCTTAGTCGTGAAAAAAGGTTTATTAACAAAAATGTATCCTCGTAGTAGAAGCTCCACTGCCCTTGTTGGCGCTCTACTTTACATTTTTTGCCCGGGGAGCAATTAGAGGTTAGATGTCTTGCTCAGGGACACTTCGACATGTGACATGGGGCAGCCTGGAATTGAACCACGAACCTTGTGCTTCCCAGCACACCTTCTCTAACCACTACTTCGGTTTGTAATCGAAGTGCTTTCACATATTAACGCGACGCGATGAACACTGATACTCAACACGCGCGTCTGTTCTTGGCGGAGCGACACACAAGCTCCACTGCCCTCGTTCGCGCACTACTTTGTCCTCCGCACCGAGTGGATGATGTTCGTGATGCTTTCACGTGTCCTGAGTTTGTTTCTGTTGGCGGACTTCCTCACAGGTGTGTTGGGGCGATTGCGTGTTTTGGGGTCCGCGCGTGTTTTGGGGTCCGCGCGTGTTTTGGGGTCCGCGCGTGTTTTGGGGTCCGTGCGTGTTTTGGGGCGATTGCGTGTTTTGGGGCCCGCGCGTGTTTTGGGGCCCGCGCGTGTTTTGGGGCGCGCGCGTGTTTTGGGGCGGCGGGGTTGTGTGCGCGCATTGCGTGTTTTGGGGTCGGTGCGTGTGTTTGGGGCGATTGCGTGTTTTGGGGTCCGTGCGTGTTTTGGGGTCCGTGCGTGTTTTGGGGCGATTGCGTGTTTTGGGGCCCGCGCGTGTTTTGGGGCGCGCGCGTGTGTTGGGGCGATTGCGTGTTTTGGGGTCGGTGCGTGTGTTGGGGCGCATGCGTGTGACATGTCAGTATCACAATGAACCCACCGAAGCCTCTGCATGTTATCTAACACATGAAAACACCGCATTAATTCATTATTCAACTAAAACTTGAGTCAAAGTGAAGACCAGACAATGACTCCAGGTCACTGTGGACGTATGAAGTTGAAACGATTAACAAACAGCTGGAGACAAAAAAACAGTGTTACCAACAATATATAATCAGCTGAAGTGTGAACATGTGAAAGAAGTACACATTATTTCAGCCACATATTGTTAAAGGTGAAAGTGAGCGTGTGTGTGTGTGTGTGTGTGTGTGTGTGTGTGTGTGTGTGTCTCTTCTCTCCTGCCGTTCCCTCCGGTGTGATTTGTGAATTTGTGTTTCCTCCAGGAGACCAACAACTCGTTTGTCTGGAGTCAATCCGGGCTTCCGAAGGTGAAGACGTCACTCTCCGATGTCACTCGCATCCCAAACTCCACTTGGACGAGCAGACTGTGGAAGTGAGGAGAGACGACCTCCCCGGGAGGGACAACATCGTCCACCTCTATCGGGACAGAAAGGATGATTTTGAGAACCAGATGACTCGGTACAGAGACAGAACCCGTCTGGACCCTGAAGACCTGACCTCAGGAAAGGTCACGCTGAGGATCTGCTCGGTAAACGAGTCGGACTCTGGACACTACGTGGTCTTTATCCCAAAGCTGGACATCTGGTGTGTCATTAACGTCACCATCAGTAAGCGTTGTTTTATTCTGACACAATCAACCTAACGTGTTTCTAAGCGTCTCCACAAAATGATCAGAGTGAATGTTAAGAAGAACACGAGAGATTAAAGTGACTAAAATGTGTGTTCTTTACACATTTTAACTTTTATCCATGTTACTAAAATATATTCCATCCTGCTACTGAGAACATTCTTATATTCATTTCAACAGAAGCTAAAGACCCAAAGAACCAGACGAAGAGTCGTGATCCTACAAATGTCCCTCCAACGTCGGATGATCTTGGTAAAGTATTTTTGAATTATTCTTCATGAAACTCTGGTCTCCTCTTATTTCGCGGAGTCTTTGAACACAACATAATCTGAGCAGGACTTGTGTGTCTTAATGAAAACCTGCTCCTCTTCATCGTCTCTGTCTGATGATCCTTCAGGTGCTGAGAAGAAGACGGATGTCCGGATCATTGTTGGTTCGGCTCCTGTTGTCCTCGTTGTCCTCGGTGTCCTCGGTGTCCTCGTTGTTGTTCTTGTGATGAAATACAAGGTGGTTGGTGAGTTACAGACTTCTCTCAGCATTGTGTTGTTGGTGGTGAAATGTACAAACTGCACACAGACTCACATCTTGTGCTCCGATGTAAATAAGTTATTAATGTACGTTATAAAGCGATAAACACAGAGGATCTTGTTGAGATCCAAACCTGAGCAGACGTCACAGAACCTTCTCCAGCGTACCGCTTTAAAAGTATAGAATACTGCGTTACAGCACTTACTCATCAATAACTCTTTTATTAAGTAAATGATAACAAACATAAATATATTAAACAGGAAGTGAAATAAGGTCATTAATTTGCTCTTAAAGAACATATTACTTATTTATGTATCAGACACATTTCAGACTATTTTGTGGAAATGTTCCATGAATTAATTCCTGTACTACAGTTTTTCTCCAATGCAAACATATAAATAATGAAACCGTTTATCAACAAAAAGCCTCCAGGCTGCTGAAGTCCAATATCTACATCTACATTCTTCACCATGAACCTTCTGAAGTTCTACGAATCAACGTCTCAAAGCTGTTTCCATGTTCTCACAGACATTTGGAGGAACTTCAGAGGAAGGAGGCCAAACAACGATGAACCGGTAACCGCGGTGACGGGGCCGAGGGAGCTGGGACAAGACGCTCTCGCAGCCGAAGAAGCTTCCATCGAGTTGATGGTAGTCAACAACAACAACAACAACAACAACAACCACCAATCCGGAAAATCCTCCGAGGTTTATTAATGATGATTGTATTCCTCTGTTTGATTAGAAAAACTAAATTCTCTCACTTTGTCTTCCAATGTCCCCAAACTATAATATCTCCTGGAGGGAGATCTCCACAAACGAGGGGGACAAAGTCGTGGAGGAAAATACGGGACAAATGTGTCCTTGATGAAAAGCAGCAGTGTGGATGCACGGGGCAATAAAGTCTCTGATAAATAAATAAAGCAACCAACGACTTCCACACACAAAGACGTGACTCTCCAGGTCGTCTTCAACAAAACACGTCAGATCCAAAGAGAAACAGTCGAGTTAAACTAAGTAACTTGATATGAGTTGAGACCAACACCGTAGCTTTAAAGGTGGACTCTAAACATAAGATCTGTCCCGTGAAGCTGTGCTTTACCAAATCTAAGCTCCCTTTTTTATTTTTGTATAGTTTTAAAATATATTAACCTTTTTAAGCTCATAAGTAACCAGTTAAGATGAATGTGATCGTGTCCCCTTTTTATTTACGTGTGATGTTTTTTTCCCCCACTTTTATTTATCTTTTTACTTCTACCTGTATTTGTTGTGTCTCTGTTGGAAGTTAATAAACTGTTGTACTTTAAGGAGCAGTTTTCTGTGATTACTTGGTGAATATGCTGTGATGGTCTCTGCAAATGGTCCAGTGTTCAGGAATCAGGAAACATTTATTAGCCAAAATATGTCAAACATACAAGGAATTTGTCTTGGCGGTTAGTGCGCGACAGTAGACAGACAAGACAACAGTGCACAAGTCATACAATAAAGTGGAATGAAATGCTAATGCAATGGGTTAGTATAAAACAAGGGAATAAAGTTAAAAAATTAAATATTAAAAAGTTAAAGAAAAATATTAAGCATAAAGTGCACTAACGAACAAGTAACAGACAAGAGACAAAGTGATGAATTGCAGTTAAAGTGACGTGTGCAGTATGAGGGGGAGTGACCGGTGGAGTGTTATAGACAGGCAGTGGGGGACCGGCTCTGTTGATGAGCCTGACTGCCGACGGGAAGAAACTGTTGGTGTGGCGGGAGGTCTTAGTCCTGATGGACCTCAGCCTCCTGCCAGATGGAAGGGGCACAAACAGTTTTTGTCTGGGGTGAGAGGGGTCGGTCACCATCTTTTTAGCTCGCTTCAGAGACCTGGAAGCGAACAAGTCCTGCAGGGACGGCAGATTGCAGCCGATCAGCCTCTCTGCAGAGCGGATGACACGCTGCAGCCTGCCCTTGTCCTTGGCTGTGGCTGCAGCGTACCAGACGGTGATGGAGGAGCAGAGGATGGACTCCATGATGGCCGTGTAGAAGTGGACCATCATCGTCTTTGGCAGGTTGAGTTTCTTCAGCTGCCTCAGGAAGAACAACCTCTGCTGAGCCTTCTTGGTGATGGAGCTGATGTTCAGCTCCCACTTGAGGTCCTGGGTGATGATGGAGCCCAGGAAACGGAAGGAATCCACAATAGTGACGGGGGAGTCACACAGGGTGATGGGGGAGGTTGGGGCTCTGTTCCGCCGGAAATCCACAACCATCTCCACTGTCTTTAGAGCGTTGAGCTCCAGGTTGTTCTGGCTGCACCACGACACCAGATGGTCAGACTCCCACCTGTAGGCGGACTCGTCCCCACCAGAGATCAGTCCAATGAGGGTGGTGTCATCTGCAAACTTCAGGAGCTTGACGGACTGGTGGCTGGAGGTGCAGCTGTTGGTGTACAGGGAGAAGAGCAGAGGGGAGAGAACGCAGCCTTGGGGGGAACCGGTGCTGATGGTCCGAGAGGCTGAGACATGTTTCCCCAGCTTCACGTGCTGCTTCCTGTCAGACAGGAAGTCTGTGATCCACCTGCAGGTGGAGCTCAAAATGAAACCTCTTAATTCTTTTCTCTTAATGAGGGAATTTCAATTGTGAGACTTATATTCTGGTTATTAGTCTCTTTATAAGCCGGTGCCCTGTTGTTCATTTGTTTTCTGAGTGATTATTGATAATTCTATTGATGTTAGCTCATCGGTAGCTGCTATCCTCTCAACAGGACACACGCTAAAACAATGTGTAGACCACGCGGGCTTCTTTGATCACTGGAACGCGTTTCAGAGAGAACCTGGTCGGATGGAGCAGATCTCAAGGGGCCCATGGGGCCCCATGGGGGATTTTGGTTCATCTGATCGATAGCCGCGTGTGTCTGGAGTTTCTGCGATAGGTTGCGCCAAGCATCCATATTTGCAATGTGCTCAGCAGACTTTTCATGCTGTCTCTGGTGGGCTGAAATGTTTTCCCAATCATTAAACCCATTCTCACTCGGCTGATTGCTCCTTACCCTGTTTCCAAATAGGCGGCAGCAAAAACAAACAACGCGGCCCTTCTTTTCACTGTAGACAAGCCATGATCTGCATATCTGTTCTCCATTTCTCATCTGCATGTAGTAGTTGCTGCTGGTAAATCTGTGCCCGTCTTCATTCCTCAGGAAGATCCCGTCCTTCACCTGAAGTGGTCCTCTCTCCACTATTGAGCAGCGTGCACTATCCGACAGCTGTTTTGGCCAGAGTGCTGGATCATTTCCTAGAAGTACAATGGATGATGCTGGAGAGCTCTCACAGCTCATCCCTGTCTCAGTCTGAAAACAAAAGCAAAACACAGCATAAGGCTTGTGCCCAGTGGTGAAATGCACAGTATATTTACTAATCTAGACATTTGAGGAATTCATGCAACTTCAATTTTGTCTGCTCTGCTGTATCTTCGAGGCAAACACTGTACTTTAAACTCCACTACAAATGAAATGGCTGGTTACATATTTCAAACCTTTCCTGCCTCGTGAAAACCATGTACCCTCCACATAAATTCATCAAAAATTAGCTCAATCTTAAACATCTACAGCAGTAAATGATATGGATGTAACACGGAGGGATCGTTTTTTTAATGCAGAGTGATAGTTTTTAATAACTTCAAGAACTTACATAGTTTCTTATGTTTTAAATGCATAACTTTACACATTCAGGACTAAATCCCCCTTGGACAGTTTTGATACTCACTTGTTCATTTGCACACGACAGACCCTCCTCAACAGGTTGAGCAAGTGGTGGGTTGCTGCTGCTGCTGCTGGCCGCTGCCGTAGGAGCAGTGACGAAACTTGTCACTTTCTCCAACTTTGAAGTAAATGTTTTGTTTTCTTCCTCCTTCCTCCTCTTTTCAGCACCGCTGGGGTAGCTTCGCTTCATCCTTGTGATACTCTTACTCTCTTTCGCCATTTCGCACAGTTTGGTTTTCGTTTTGCCGGTTTCTTGGATCCGTTCTGCACATGCGCAGTAAAGATGGACTGATCCAACGTAGTGGACACTAAAGGGGGGGAGGGGGGGCGACACACACGTAATACAATACGCATTCTCCTGGCATTTTAGCGAGAGAATTTTGAAAATATATAGAATTAATATGCGCAAATAAGTAATAACTTTATTAACCATTAGTGTATGAGGATTTTTACGGGGCCCCTCAGGAACTTGGGGCCCTAGGCAACCGCCTAGTTTCGCCTAATGGTAAGTTTGCCCCTGGTTATAGTAGCCTTACCGCCATGGTTCTGTGTGTGGGAGGGTAAAATATTATTGTACGGGTTGGGGTGCGTGCGTGTGTGTAAATCGAGGTTGGGGTGCGTGCGTGTGTTGGGGTGCTTGCGTGTATTGGGGTAAGTCGAGGTTGGGGTGCGTGCGTGTGTGTAAATCGAGGTTGGGGTGCGTGCATGTGTTGGGGTGCGTGTAAATCGAGGTTGGGGCGCGTGTCTGTGCGGCTGTAAGGCGTCTGTGGCTGAAGTGAAATGTGGGCGGGACGAGAGAGAGAGAAAGAAAGAAAGAGCAGTAGGGCCGAGATCCTCCATGTGTCAGTGGCAAGTGGGTGGCAACTTTGTGGCAGGCAGCGGCAATCGCCAGTAAATCAGTCGGCGTCACAACGGCACGCTGGGTGGGAGGAGCCAATTTTTCCGCCGTACGGCGCGCAGACTTTAAAGGCAGTATTAAAGGCGGTGCTTATTTCAGTGATTCAACTTCAGGTTGCAAAAGGAGCACCTACTCAATACCACTTTCTTCTCTCCTCTGAGTGGATCATGTCTGTGATACTTTTACGTCTCCTGAGTTTGTTTCTGTTGGCGGACCTCCTCACAGGTAGGTTCATGTTATTCTCCTAGATTAATTTCCTCGAGTGCGTTTAAATTGAGGTTGGCGCGCATGCGTGTGACATGTCAATATCACAATGAACCCACCGAAGCCTCTGCATGTTATTTAACACATGAAAACACCACATTAATTGGGGGGTCGTCGTGGCGCAGGGGTTAGAGAAGGTGTGCTGGAAAGCACAAGGTTGGTGGTTCGATTCCAGGCTGCCCCATGTTCCATGTCGAAGTGCCAGGCAAAAATGTGAAAAAGCCATGGGTTTAAAGTGAAATGTAAGTCGCTTTGGATAAAAGCGAAATGACCTGTAATGTAATTAATTATTCTACTAAAACTTGGCTCACGTGTCTCAAATAAAATTAAATAAAATAAAATACTTACAGCAGCTGACCTGTCGTACAAATAACATTTTGGGAAAGGCTCCTCCGTTCTGCACATGCGCCGCAGCATCCTTGTGACACAAAAGTTGCCTGCCACTGCCACAAGGAGGAGGATCTCGGCCCAACTGAAAAAAACAGTGTTACCAACAATATATAATCAGCTGAAGTGTGAACATGTGAAAGAAGTACACATTATTTCGGCCACATATTGTGAAAGTGTGTGTGTGTGTGTGTGTGTCTCTTCTCTCCTGCCGTTCCCTCCGGTGTGATTTGTGAATTTGTGTTTCCTCCAGGAGACCAACAACTCGTTTGTCTGGAGTCAATCCGGGCTTCCAAAGGTGAAAACGTCACTCTCCGATGTCACTCGCATCCCAAACTCCACTTGGACGAGCAGACGGTGGAAGTGAGGAGAGACGACCTCCCCGGGAGGGACAACATCGTCCACCTCTATCGGGGCAGAAAGGATGATTTTGAGAACCAGATGACTCGGTACAGAGACAGAACCCGTCTGGACCCTGAAGACCTGACCTCAGGAAATGTCACGCTGAGGATCTGCTCGGTAAACGAGTCGGACTCTGGACGCTACGTGGTCTTTATCCCAAAGCTGCACATCCGGCGTGTCATTAACGTGACCATCGGTAAGCGTTGTTTTATTCTGACACAATCAACCGAACGTGTTTCTAAGCGTCTCCACAAAATGATCAGAGTGAATGTTAAGAAGAACACAAGAGATTAAAGTGACTAAAATGTGTGTTCTTTACACATTTTAACTTTTATCCATGTTACTAAAATATATTCCATCCTGCTACTGAGAACATTCTTATATTCATTTCAACAGAAGCTGAAGACCCAAAGAACCAGACGAAGAGTCGTGATCCTACAAATGTCCCTCCAACGTCAGAAGACCCTGGTAAAGTATTTTTGAATTATTCTTCATGAAACTCTGGTCTCCTCTTATTTCGCGGAGTCTTTGAACACAACATAATCTGAGCAGGACTTGTGTGTCTTAATGAAAACCTGCTCCTCTTCATCGTCTCTGTCTGATGATCCTTCAGGTGCTGAGAAGAAGACGGATGTCCGGATCATTGTTGGTTCTGTCCTCGGTGTCCTCGGTGTCCTCGGTGTCCTCGTTGTTGTTCTTGTGATGAAATACAAGGTGGTTGGTGAGTTACAGACTTCTCTCAGCATTGTGTTGTTGGTGGTGAAATGTACAAACTGCACACAGACTCACATCTTGTGCTCCGATGTAAATAAGTTATTAATGTACGTTATAAAGCGATAAACACAGAGGATCTTGTTGAGATCCAAACCTGAGCAGACGTCACAGAACCTTCTCCAGCGTACCGCTTTAAAAGTATAGAATACTGCGTTACAGCACTTACTCATCAATAACTCTTTTATTAAGTAAATGACAACAAACATAAATATATTAAACAGGAAGTGAAATAAGGTCATTAATTTGCTCTTAAAGAACATATTACTTATTTATGTATCAGACACATTTCAGACTATTTTGTGGAAATGTTCCATGAATTAATTCCTGTACTACAGTTTTTCTCCATCGCAAACATATAAATAATGAAACCGTTTATCAACAAAAAGCCTCCAGACTGCTGAAGTCCAATATCTACATCTACATTCTTCACCATGAACCTTCTGAAGTTCTACGAATCAACGTCTCAAAGCTGTTTCCATGTTCTCACAGACATTTGGAGGAACTTCAGAGGAAGGAGGTCAAACAACGATGAACCGGGGACCAGACAGATGGAGCAGGGAGAAGACTCCGAGTTGATCGTCAACAACGACAATTCATCCGGAAAATCCTCCAACAAGATTTATTAAGGACAATTTTTGTGATCCCTCTGGTTAAAAAACAAACGAAATCTAGGAATCTGTCTCTTTGTCTTCCGACATCCTCAAACTACTGAGATCCCATCGCCTCTTCAGGGGTCGCACACCCACCTCAGGTGTTGAAGTGAAGTAGCCAGCTAGTCATCTGCCTTCTATTTACAATTTACTTTCTATTTTTTTAATAGTTTGAAATATGGCCTTTTCCAACCGGTTTTAAATACAAGAACAGTAACTACCTGAGATAAATGTTAGTAATAGTGTCCCCCTTTTCCCCCTTTTTATTCATTCGGGGTGTTTTTTTTTATGCACTTTTTGGATCTGCCTGTTACAGACGTTTATTGCATTAAATGGGTTGGAGGCGGAGCTTAGTGAGTGACAGCTTTTTATCAGGGCGCTCAGTTTCCTGCTGAGGAGGAGGAGGAGGAGGAGGATGAAGGTCTGAAGATGCACACTTCTCCTGTGAAGACTATTTAAAAAAAATATATACAAGTGTTTGTCAGCGCTCGGGTCCAAGGAATATATTTTCATGATGATTCTACTATGTGTTACTGTGTACTGTGAGTCATGTGTGCCAGAAGTGTTGATGTCGAATACTTTGTGATCAGACTCTACCTCGACTAAAAACACTAACAAATTAAAGCACTTAAACTGTACCTCTAATGGCTCTTATCTACAGCAAATTGTAAATCGGCTTATTTAATGAAATTGCGCTTTCTTGTTCTTCTGAGTTTGTATCCTTATGGTTGAACGCACTAATTGTAAGTCACTTTGGATAAAAGCGTCAGCTAAATGACATGTAAGGGAATTATCTGAAAGACATGTTTTTTATGAAGATAAAATAAACTTTTTTTTAAAGCCTCTTGGATCAGCTGGAAAATGCACTTTCTCAAAGCTTTGATGAAGATCTTAAGATTATGATGCATTGATGCCAATTTCATTTCCACCGTAACGTACCATAAAAATGCATTATTCTAGATATTAAAATACAGCAGCACATGAATCCAGAAATATTACACTAATACTTATATTGAAACACTTGACAGGGAACAGTTCTTAGCACAATGAGAACTTTTACTCATTTGGCTCGTATCCTCTTTATGTTTACGTAAGACTTTTAATGCAAGACTTGTTTTGTGTGTCTCACTGTGTTATTAGTAGTTTTGAATAAGGAAAGGAAAGCTTTAGAAAAAAGGCGCTCACGCGGCACGATGAGGCAGGAATGCTCATAAGATTACGTGTTAATACAAATAGATGTGGGTACACGTGTTTGTGTTTGACCCAATATTTTAGCGGGTCTTCACTCCGATGGATGTTTGATTCAGCCAAATATCTGGTGGTCTCCACAATAAAAATAAGCATCCATAATTACACGATACAAATGACAGACTTTGCCTGCCTATTGCCAACCGTGTTAGAGGAAATCAAAATGAAGAGCTGCCACATCTCGGAGCGACCTCTCTCTGCCACAGGTTCCATTGGAAATTTGCGCTTTGCTACGACTACTACTAGTACTACAACTACTACTACTACTAGTACTACTACTACTAGTACTACTACTACTACAACAACACTGACTTTGACTGTATCAAGCAGACAAGACCGAACCCTGTTTCCGGCCCATTGAATCAAATCGAAGCGGTCACGTGACGCAGGGGCGCAGCTTCGGACGTCACTGATCACGTGATCAGCAGCGAACGAACCGAGCAGCGAGACGTTTCTTCGCCTCGCGCTGGTTCACATTTCGACACAAGCGTCGAAGCAGGAGGGTCGGAGGTAACGACACTACCGCTGAGTGGGGAGAAGCGGCTGGAAACGCGAAGCGGTTGGTGGTGAACCCGTGTGCTTCCACTCGGACTCATGCTCACTCCGGACGGTCACCCGGCCTCCCGCCCGCTCGGGAGTTGCCGGGGGACGGCTAGCGGGAGCGGACGCTCCGGCTACGGGGGCGGGCTGGCTAGCTACAGCGGCTAACGACGGAGCTTCCGCGGCGCGGAGCCGCGCTTCTAGCTCACTAAGCCTCGCCTCAAATTTATCAAATATACTACACTTCTTACATGTACCATTATCCGTAAGGGAGGCAGAGGAATAGCTAAACGTGTGACACACCGAGCAAGAAAGATCACCGCTCAGGGGATCAGGTTGATTGGGGACGTTAAATTGCCCGTAGGTGTGTGAATGGCGACCAGTCCAGGATGTATTTGTATTAGAACAGATTTAGTCGTAGTTTTTATTTTTCAAGATCGTTTTAGTCTCGTCTTAGTCATGAAAAAAAGGTTTATTAGCGAAAAAATTGTCCTCACAGTAGAAGCTCCACTGCCCTTGTTAGCGCTCTACTTCGGTTTGTAATCGAAGTGCTTTCACATATAAGTCGACGCGATGAACACTGATACTCAACACGCGCGTCTGTTCTTGGCGGAGCGACACACAAGCTCCACTGCCCTCGTTCGCGCACTACTTTGTCCTCCGCACCGAGTGGATGATGTTCGTGATGCTTTGTTTTTTTCTGTTGGCGCACTCCGCCACAGGTAGGTTCATGTCATTATTCTACGAGATTAACTTCAAATCAAACATTTGTGTGTGTTTGCTGTTGTGTTTTGGGGCGATTGCGTGTGTTGGGGCGCGTGCGTGTGTTGGGGCGCGTGCGTGTGTTGGGGCGCGTGCGTGTTTTGGGGTCCGTGCGTGTTTTGGGGTCCGTGCGTGTTTTGGGGCGCGTGCGTGTTTTGGGGTCCGTGCGTGTTTGGGGGCGCGTGCGTGTTTGGGGGTCCGTGGGTGTTTGGGGCGCGTGTAAGTCGAGGCCTCATATGGGTGAAAAGTATTGTGACTTTGTCAACCAATAACATTTTTGTCTCGTTAACAGAAGTTAGAATAGATTTAGTCGTAGTTTTTATTTTTTTAGATCGTTTTAGTCTCGTCTTAGTCGTGAAAAAAGGTTTATTAACAAAAATGTATCCTCGTAGTAGAAGCTCCACTGCCCTTGTTGGCGCTCTACTTTACATTTTTTGCCCGGGGAGCAATTAGAGGTTAGATGTCTTGCTCAGGGACACTTCGACATGTAACATGGGGCAGCCTGGAATTGAACCACGAACCTTGTGCTTCCCAGCACACCTTCTCTAACCACTACTTCGGTTTGTAATCGAAGTGCTTTCACATATTAACGCGACGCGATGAACACTACTCAACACGCGCGTCTGTTCTTGGCGGAGCGACACACAAGCTCCACTGCCCTCGTTCGCGCACTACTTTGTCCTCCGCACCGAGTGGATGATGTTCGTGATGCTTTCACGTGTCCTGAGTTTGTTTCTGTTGGCGGACTTCCTCACAGGTGTGTTGGGGCGATTGCGTGTTTTGGGGTCCGCGCGTGTTTTGGGGTCCGCGTGTTTTGGGGTCCGTGCGTGTTTTGGGGCGATTGCGTGTTTTGGGGCCCGCGCGTGTTTTGAGGCCCGCGCGTGTTTTGAGGCGCGCGCGTGTGTTGGGGCGATTGCGTGTTTTGGGGTCGGTGCGTGTGTTTGGGGCGATTGCGTGTTTTGGGGTCCGTGCGTGTTTTGGGGCGATTGCGTGTTTTGGGGCGATTGCGTGTTTTGGGGCCCGCGCGTGTTTTGGGGCGCGCGCGTGTTTTGGGGCGCGCGCGTGTTTTGGGGTCGGTGCGTGTGTTGGGGCGCATGCGTGTGACATGTCAGTATCACAATGAACCCACCGAAGCCTCTGCATGTTATCTAACACATGAAAACACCGCATTAATTCATTATTCAACTAAAACTTGAGTCAAAGTGAAGACCAGACAATGACTCCAGGTCACTGTGGACGTATGAAGTTGAAACGATTAACAAACAGCTGGAGACAAAAAAGCAGTGTTACCAACAATATATAATCAGCTGAAGTGTGAACACGTGAAAGAAGTACACATTATTTCAGCCACATATTGTTAAAGGTGAAAGTGAGCGTGTGTGTGTGTGTGTGTGTGTGTGTGTGTGTGTGTGTGTGTGTGTGTGTCTCTTCTCTCCTGCCGTTCCCTCCGGTGTGATTTGTGAATTTGTGTTTCCTCCAGGAGACCAACAACTCGTTTGTCTGGAGTCAATCCGGGCTTCCGAAGGTGAAGACGTCACTCTCCGATGTCACTCGGATCCCAAACTCCACTTGGACGAGCAGACGGTGGAAGTGAGCAGAGACGACCTCCCCGGGAGGGACAACATCGTCCACCTCTATCGGGACAGAAAGGATGATTTTGAGAACCAGATGACTCGGTACAGAGACAGAACCAGTCTGGACCCTGAAGACCTGACCTCAGGAAAGGTCACGCTGAGGATCTGCTCGGTAAACGAGTCGGACTCTGGACGCTACGTGGTCTTTATCCCAAAGCTGGACATCTGGTGTGTCATTAACGTCACCATCAGTAAGCGTTGTTTTATTCTGACACAATCAACCGAACGTGTTTCTAAGCGTCTCCACAAAATGATCAGAGTGAATGTTAAGAAGAACACGAGAGATTAAAGTGACTAAAATGTGTGTTCTTTACACATTTTAACTTTTATCCATGTTACTAAAATATATTCCATCCTGCTACTGAGAACATTCTTATATTCATTTCAACAGAAGCTAAAGACCCAAAGAACCAGACGAAGAGTCGTGATCCTACAAATGTCCCTCCAACGTCAGACGACCCCGGTAAAGTATTTTTGAATTATTCTTCATGAAACTCTGGTCTCCTCTTATTCCGCGGAGTCTTTGAACACAACATAATCTGAGCAGGACTTGTGTGTCTTAATGAAAACCTGCTCCTCTTCATCGTCTCTGTCTGATGATCCTTCAGGTGCTGAGAAGAAGACGGCGGCTGTCTGGATCATTGTTGGTTCTGTCCTCGGTGTCCTCGGTGTCCTCGTTGTCCTCGGTGTCCTCGGTGTCCTCGTTGTTGTTCTTGTGATGAAATACAAGGTGGTTGGTGAGTTACAGACTTCTCTCAGCATTGTGTTGTCGGTGGTGAAATGTACAAACTGCACACAGACTCACATCTTGTGCTCCGATGTAAATAAGTTATTAATGTACGTTATAAAGCGATAAACACGGAGGATCTTGTTGAGATCCAAACCTGAGCAGACGTCACAGAACCTTCTCCAGCGTACCGCTTTAAAAGTATAGAATACTGCGTTACAGCACTTACTCATCAATAACTCTTTTATTAAGTAAATGACAACAAACATAAATATATTAAACAGGAAGTGAAATAAGGTCATTAATTTGCTCTTAAAGAACATATTACTTATTTATGTATCAGACACATTTCAGACTATTTTGTGGAAATGTTCCATGAATTAATTCCTGTACTACAGTTTTTCTCCAACGCAAACATATAAATAATGAAACCGTTTATCAACAAAAAGCCTCCAGGCTGCTGAAGTCCAATATCTACATCTACATTCTTCACCATGAACCTTCTGAAG